ATTAAAGAGTAGTTGCACACAAAAATTGTCAAAGGATTGGAAAAAGAACCAAAGAGAGATTGATGAATGATGATGATTACTTACTAAAAAATCAGAGTTTAAGAGAAAGAAGAAGCCATGAAGTTTTTTTATTATTTAAATTTTATATTTTAAGAACGATTGACACGTAAGGAGTAGAAAGTGTTTGGGGGATATATGCACTCCTCATGTGGTTAGCTTCGATGTTTCCTTTTATTTCAAGGCTTTCTGCTTTATTTATTTATTATTTATAATTGTTTTTATAATTTATTTATATAAAAACAGGAAATAAACCGTCTTCAACAAGATTCGAACTCTGGCGCTTCATTAAATGAAGAAGCACTGGAGCCAACTCCACCAGAGACACCTTTTTGCAAATGTCTAGCACGCTATAATATATATACAATTCCTACAATATTAATATATATAATATAAAGAATTTTTTTTTTTTGGGGCCCTTAAGAATCGGGGGCCTTGTGTGGTGCATCACCCCAGGGCCGCCCCTGCTTTTATTCTCCAATGTGAGATTCACACTCTCAATCAACACATACAACCTTTATCTACACACAAAACGGAGGAACAACTATTGAGCTATATGAATTGAATTGAATCAATACAGATGATACAGTATTCCTCGGAAAACTCTATCCGATTTTGCTTAGTTTCCATCCATTGGCTCTTGTCTCGTAAGTCGTAAGGACATTGAAAGACAAACACTAATAGAAAGAAAGACATTGGAGGGCTGCGAATCACATATATGTATAACTTAAAAATCAAAGCATGTGTTGCTCAAAAACATGCCTACTAGTATTGGGATAGGAAGATATATAGCAGCCACAATGCATTTGTTCAGATTTTATTGCCAACCATCTAAAGATTACAAACTGCAAGAGCAGTAGGCTTATTAACTGAACAATTTTGACAATGATGCAACAGATAAAGACCAAAAGTTAACTTGAACAATACAATCAAACAGTACTAATTTGCAAAAACAAATCCACACCCATAACTTTTTGTTCTCTAAATTTGGGGAAAAGCCTGAATAACGGATTGGACAGCATGAATAGGTGTGATAGTGTGTCGGCTAAAGCCAGCTTTCCTAAGAACATATCCCCATTCCTTCAAGGTCCTTTCTTTTCCTGTGTTTGTATGGGCCATCATCACCATGTCTAGCATCAATCTCACATTTGTAAGTTTGATGTCCTCTTTCTCATCTTTTTCATCAATAACCGCTTCTACAATTATCACCTTCCCTTTATTCTCCAGAATAGCTTCCCTGCACTTCTTAAGGATACGGATGCACTCATCATCGCCCCAGTCATGAAGAACCCACTGCAATTCACGAAAACAGAATCAGAGTATACATTGTCATAACGCCTTGTTGAGCAAGAAAAGTTATACCAAGATAATCAGGGAGTGATGGCAGAGGAACCACATTTTTTCTTATCCCATTACCGCAGACAAATGATGTAATAAATAAGTAGACATTAACAGACAAATCAAATGATGAAACTAATAGCTCACTGGATGAATGAAAAATATAAACATGTTGCTGCTAGATATTTTAAGGCTGCTCTTCCTTAAATGGTTTAGTTTTCTTGATTTCTTTTAACTAAATACATGTAATACATATATATAATAACCTTCATAATTACAGCATCAGCCTTTGGAACACAATCAAACATGTCACCTCCAACATTCTTAATGCGGTCACACTCCTGAGCAACAGACACAACATGAGGAAGATCAAAGTTGATGCCTTGAATCCAAGGACATGCCTCAACCAACAAGCGCAAAGTAGTCCCATCACCCCCGCCCACATCTACAATTGTCTCAATCCCTTTGAACACCTCTAAACAACTTTCAATCACTGCAGGCACAGCCACCCTTGCATCACAAGCCATTGCTTCATTGATAAGCTTGCTGTGATCAGGATTGGCTGCGGCATAGCTCCATACATCCTCTCCATGTACTGCTTCAAATGCTGGATTGCTAATACCTTGAATTCGAGCACTTAGGCCATGCCACGGTGCCAGCATTACCGGGCTACTCTCTAGCAAAATGAAAGCAGCCATGCTGTTTTGTCCGGATTTCAATAGCCATTTGGACAAAGGTGTTTGTACAAAAACTTTGGGGCCCAATTGGGTTGACGGTTTCTCTTTGAATATTTTGAGGTGGACAAGTACCCTCATGATGCGGTAAAGGGGAGAAGGATCACAACTTAGAGCAGATGAGAGCTCTAAGAGTGTCATGGGGCTTCCATGGCTTTCAATTGTATCAGCTATCCCGAGCTCAATGGCGCATTTCACCACTGCGATTTCAACAAACCCGAAAACATATTTCAAGACATCCACTTTGGCATGCTCTTCTTCTTCTTCCTCTTCCGATCTTAACTCTCTACTTTGTTTATCTTCCATATCTTTGTGTGTGTGTGTTTGTCCTAGGCTCTTGGCCGTATATATAATTTGCAGGTAGAGACTGGAGTTGAATGTGCTTAACATTTAAAAATCTGTCACTCTCATTCAATATTGAACAGTCAATTTTGCAGTAGATCAGAGCTGGGGCCAATGCAGGGAGTGGAGGTAGCAGCTGCTTTTGCAGTTTTAAAGCCATTCAAAAGTGATTTGCTCCTAAGAAATCAACAATATTCACTTTTTTTTTTTAATTGAAAAAATCTGCTTTCAAAAGTGATTATCATAAGAACCATCAGATGTGATTCACCTCTTATGAACATTAAGAAGTTGTTGGGGAATTAATTGCTTCTATAAAGGCCAAGAACAATCCAGCCTAGTAACAATCTCAAAATCAATCCCAAGTCGTCCAGAACATATATATTTTTCTCATGAGAATTTATAAAATAATAAAAAAGAGAGACAAAATTTAATTTAGTAGGTAAACATAAAAGCATACAACTGTTCAAAATTTCCTCTTTAAGTTGATGATAAAGTGGACCCTGGAAACTAAATTCATTTTGCACATTTCTTTACGCCAGGGAATCTTGTTTTTCCCATAAATGGCTCGCTGGAATTCACATCTATTATCTCAACCACAAACACACGTATTCATTTCCTTCAATAATGCCTCTATGAGCGGTGAAAATTATACGATATGAAAATCAAATCATTTAGAAAAAGAATTGCATACAAGAAACTAATGAACTAGCACGAAAAACACATGGCATGGTTGGTTGGGGTTAGCAATTTTGCTATCCCTTCACAAGCTTGATATTTTTCTCTTTCTCAGGATGTTTTCTCTAGTGTTACAAAATACACAATGACTGGCTTGCAATTGAGGGTAAAATTTTAAGTTTGAACTATAGATTTGGTGGGGTGCGCCAGGCCCATGCAGTAGTGCAACGCCTGGGCGACGCGCGAGAGCCCCAGTAGCAAGCTACTGTTGTGGACTCTCCCCCTAAAGAAATTAATTTAATATCGTGTGGACCATTGGTCCACGTATCAGATATTAAACTGATAAGAACAGATACTACACTTGATCTTAGCCAAAAGGCCGAGAAAGGTATGCTTTTTATATTCTCTTGTTTCTCTTTTTATAGGGCCTTTCACTTCTATACTTCATTGGTCCAGCCGATGTTGGATTGTTACAAACAGTTAAAAGGTGTACGAACGAAGGCTGAGGGGTAAGGGCTGTACCTGTGAGTGTGTGACTCGCACAAACAGAGAGCAAAATTGATTTGGTTTATACGGACTGTATTCTCATATAAGAGAAGCAAAGGCTGCTTGCAATTTGGGAAAAAGGTATGCCAAGCTTGGTATCTGTACTAACTATTTGTCGTTCCAAATTGCTTAACAAGTTCATCACACTTATGCTATAATAACACAAGTGAAAACAATATTTTCTTTGTGTTCACTCTTTGTCATTCTTCATCTATTTTCTAAACTTGAACCCATCAGCACCGATATTAATGCCGAACAAATCCAATTAGCACTTTTCATCACACAATGATACAATACAAGTTTCAAAGAGTGGCTTATTTATCAGTCCATTTAATTCCTCTAAATTCACAAAATTTAAATCCTCCTAAGCGCTTGACATTAGCTCACGTAATAACGGTGAGTGAGAAAATGAGTTAAGATTATGATTCGTAAATAGTTTGCTACTTTCCCATTGTAGCACAAGAATTTAAGGCAATATTTGTTATCATTTTAGCAAGAAGCAACTGCAAAACAAAGCCCCAAGTCACACTGATGCCATAACAATCTAACTTGAAAGCATACATAGCCATTTGCGGGCGAGACTGAACCCAAACTTTTTGGATGTTGAGGGTGACCAATGTTAACCAATGGAAAGAGGGAAATTTGCCTCCAAAACCCAAGTTGGAAAGAGGGAAATAAACTTGGCAATCAAATGTTCAATATCTTGGGACTATATTTATAGGGCCTTACTCCGAAGAGAGAGCCCTTCCAGAAATTCTCAAGGGCACATGGCTGAACCAAGGCCCAAGAGGGGGTTTGGAAATAGTTTTCAACCAGCAATAGACGCGCCTCGGTTAGAACCTCATAAGCTGCGTCATTGCCCCAAGCGCAAAGATAATTCAATCATTGGCTTCCGCTCACTTTTATCCCACTACATCAACTCAGCATTTTCTGCTCTATCCATGTGGGACTACAACTTCTTCTTTCACAATTGATAATTACAGCATCGGCCTTTGGAATACAATCAAACATGTCACCTCTAACATTCTCAATGCGATCACAATCCTGAGCATTTTTTTTCTATTAAAATATACTCGGTTTTTTTTCTAATTTGTTTTGCAGTTGCTTCTCACTCACCCTTATTACGTGAGCTACTTTGAAGCTTGTATTGTATCATTGTGTGATGAAAAGTGCTAATTGATTTTTAAGGTATACATATATTTGATTCACAGCCTTTGGAACATAATCAAACATGTCACCTCCAACATTCTCAATGCGGTCATACTCCTGAGCAACAGACACAACATGAGGAAGATCAAAGTTGATGCCTCAGATCCAAGGGCATGCCTCAACCAACAAGCGCAAAGCAGTCCCATTACCCGCACCCACGTCTACTATTGTGTGAAGCCCTTTGAACACCTCTATACAACTTTCAATCACTGCAGGCACAACCATCCTTGCATCACAAGCCATTGCTTCATTGAAAAGCTTGTTGTGATCAGGATTGGCTGCTCCAAAGCTCCATAGGTCCTCACCATGTACTTCCTCAAACACTGGATTTCTAATATTACCTTGGATTTGGGCACTGAGGCCATGCCATGGTGCCAGCATTACCGGGCTACTCTCTAGCAAAATTATAGCAGCCATGCAGTTTTGTCCGGATTTCAATAGCCGTTTGGACAAAGGTGTTTGTGCATAAACTTTGGGGCCTAATTGGGTTGCTGGTTTTTATTTGAATATTTTGAGGTGGACTAGGACCCTCATGTTGGGGTAAAGGGGAGAAGGATCACATCTTAGAGCAGATGATAGCTCTAGGAATGTCATGGGGCTGCCATGGATTTCAATTGCACCTGCTATTCCAAGCTCAATGGCACATTTAACCACGTCGATTTCAACAAACCCGAACACATATTTCCAGATTTCCACTTTGGCATGTTCTTCTTCTTCCTCTTCTCCTCCTAACACTCTTTGTTTAATTCCATCTCTTTGTGTATGTGTTGTGTCGTACGCTCTAAGGTAGCAATATATATATAATTTGCAGGAAGAGATTGGAGTTGAAATCTTTAGTTGCATGCAACATGTGTTGAACAATTTAGGTAATGTATCATTTTCATTGGGATTTTTTTCCAGATTCAACCACTCAATTTTAAATGTGTTTTCATGTAATGGTAGACATCTTTTGCCCAATTGGCTGGAAGGATTTTGTCTTGTATACAAAATTCTTTCTTTGCCAATGTATTTTATCAAAAAGTTTACTACGTAGTAGACAAACATGGTAAGCATGCATTGTACATGTTCAGCTGTAGCTAGTGGTACATTATCATAAGAATAAGATACATACGTTTTAGTTATGAATCTTGTTTTTTTGTTGTGAGCAGAGAGCTAAGCCTCTACTGAGCTATATAATATAATATGCTCTTGTAATGAGTTCAATCGAGTCAATACTGATAATACAGTATTCTGCAGAAAACTCTATCTGAGTTTGCTTAGCTTTCCATCCATTGGTTCTGTCTCATAAGTCGTAAGGACATTGAAAGACAAACTAATATGGAAAGCCTGTGTTGCTCAAAAACATGCCTACTAGTATTGGGAGGGAAAGATACATAGCAGCCACAATGCATTTGCTCAGATTTTATTGCCAACCATCTAAAGATTACAAACTGAAAGAGCAGTAGGCTTATTAAATCAACAGATAAAGACCAAAAGGTAACTTAAACACTACAATGAAACAGTACTAATTTGCAAAAACAAATGCACATCCATAACTTTTTGTTCTCTAAATTTAAGGAAAAGCCTGAATAACAGAACAGACAGCACGAATAGGTGCGATAGTGTGTCGGCTGAAGCCAGCTTCCCCAAGAACATATTCCCATTCCTTCAAGGTCCTTTCTTTTCCTGTGTTTGTATAGGCCATCATCACCATGTCTAGCATCAATCTCACATTTGTTAGTTTGATGTCCTCTTTCTCATCTTTTTCATCGATAACCGGTTCTACGATTATCACCTTCCCTTTATCCTCCACAGTAGCTTCCCTGCACTTCTTAAGGATACGGATGCACTCGTCATCGCCCCAGTCGTGAAGAACCGACTGCAATTCACGAAAACAGAATCAGAGCATCCATTGTCACAACGCCTTGTTGAGCAAGAAAACTTATAGCAAGATAATCAGGGAGTGATATGGCAGAGGAACTACATTTTTTCTTATCCCATTAGCGCAGACAAATGATGTAATAAGTAGACATTAACAGATAAATCAAATGATGAAACTAATAGCTCACAGGATGAATGAAAAATATAAACGTGTCGCTGCTAGCTATTTTAAGGCTGCTCTTCCTCAAATGGTTTAGTTTTCTCTATTTCCTTTAACTATATATATATATATATATATATATATATATATATACACACTAACCTTAATAATTACAGCATCAGCCTTTGGAACACAATCAAACATGTCACCTCCAACATTCTCAATGCGGTCACACTCCTGAGCAAGAGACACAACATGAGGAAGATCAAAGTTGATGCCTTGAATCCAAGGACATGCCTCAACCAACAAGCGCAAAGTAGTCCCATCACCCCCGCCCACATCTACAATTGTCTCAATTCCCTTGAACACCTCTATACAACTTTCAATCACTGCAGACACAACCACCCTTGCATCACAAGCCATTGCTTCATTGAAAAGCTTGTTGTGATCAGGATTGGCTGCGCCAAAGCTCCATATGTCCTCACCATGTACTTCCTCAAACACTGAATTTCTAATATTACCTTTGATTCGGGTACTGAGGACATGCCATGGTGCCAGCATTACCGGGCTATTCTCTAGCAAAATGACAGCAGCCATGCTGTTTTGTCCGGATTTCAATAGCCGTTTGGACGAAGGTGTTTGTGCATAAAGTTTGGGGCCTAATTGGGTTGCTGGTTTTTCTTTGAATATTTTGAGGTGGACTAGGATCCTCATGATGCGGTAAAGGGGAGAAGGATCACATCTTAGAGCAGATGATAGCTCTAGGAGTGTCATGGGGCTGCCATGGCTTTCAATTGCATCAGCTATTCCAAGCTCAATGGCACATTTTACCACTGCGATTTCGACAAACCCGAACACATATTTCCTGATTTCCAGTTTGGCATGTTCTTCTTCTTTCTCTTCTCCTCCTAACTCTCTTTGTTTATCTTCCATCTCTTTCTGTGTGTGTCATAGGCTCTAAGGTAACAATATATAATTTGCAGGAAGAGATTGGAGTATGGTTACATGCAGAGCATGTGTTGAACAGTTTACTACTATCGGACACCTAATTGATGGGACTTATGTGTTTCTTTTTCTCTTTTTTTGGAATAGGAAAGTATGATCTGACTTAATTTTTTTTTGGGTAAAGTGGGGAGTAAACATCCCAGAACAAAAGAAACTATTCACTCTCGTCTAAACAGACATCTAGCTTTAGGAATATCTGAAGTATCATCAGCTAAACAAGAACTGACCCAACTAGGACCCTCCGATATGTTTTTGTCCATAAATCTGACGGACTTGATTTTTTTCAAAGTGAGCATCCAACCCAAAATCAATTGACAACGGATGGAGAGACCCAAAATCTTTTATACCGTTTGACAAGGCTTTAATTCTCCAATGTGAGATTCACACTCTCAATCAACACATACAACCTTTATCTACACACAAATCGGAGGAACAACTATTGAGCTATATGAATTGAATTGAATCAATACAGATGATACAGTATCTGCAGAAAACTCTATCTGATTTTGCTTAGCTTCCATCCATTGGCTCTATCTCATAAGTCGTAAGGACATTGAAAGACAAACTAATGGAAAGAAAGACATTGGAGGGCTGTGAATCACACATACGTGTATACCTTAAAAATCAAAGCATGTGTTGCTCAAAAACATGCCTGCTAGTATTGGGATAGAAAGATATATAGCAGCCACAATGCATTTGCTCAGATTTTATTGCCAACCATCTAAAGATTACAAACTGCAAAAGCAGTAGGCTTATTAAATCAACAATTTTGACAATGATGCAACAGATAAAGACCAAAAGGTAACTTAAACAGTACAATGAAACAGTACTAATTTGCAAAAACAAATCCACATCCATAAATTTTTGTTCTCTAAATTTAAGGAAAAGCCTGAATAACGGAATAGACAGCATGAATAGGTGTGATAGTGTGGCGGCTGAAGCCAGCTTCCCCAAGAACATATCCCCATTCCTTCAAGGTCCTTTCTTTTCCTGTGTTTGTATGGACCATCATCACCATGTCTAGCATCAATCTCACATTTGTTAGTTTGATGTCCTCTTTCTCATCTTTTTCATCGATAACCGCTTCTACGATTATCACCTTCCCTTATCCTCCGGAATAGCTTCCCTGCACTTCTGAAGGATACGGATGCACTCATCATCGCCCCAGTCGTGAAGAACCGACTGCAATTCACAAAACAGAATCAGAGTATCCGTTGTCATAACGCCTTGTTGAGCAAGAAAACTTATAGCAAGATAATCATGGAGTGATGGCAGAGGAACCACATTTTTTCTTATTCCATTAGCGCAGACAAATGATGTAATAAGTAGACATTAACAGACAAATCAAATGATGAAACTAATAGCTCACAGGATGAATGAAAAATATAACGTGTTGCTGCTAGCTATTTAAGGCTACTTTTCCTCAAATGGTTTAGTTTTCTTGATTTCTTTTAACTATATACATATAATATATATATATATATATGTACTAACCTTCATAATTACAGCATCAGCCTTTGGAACACAATCAAACATGTCACCTCCAACATTCTCAATGCGGTCACACTCCTGAGCAACAGACACAACATGAGGAAGATCAAAGTTGATGCCTTGAATCCAAGTACATGCCTCAACCAACAAGCGCAAAGTAGTCCCATCACCCCCGCCCACATCTACGATTGTCTCAATCCCTTTGAACACCTTTATACAACTTTCAATCACTGCAGGCACAACCATCCTTGCATCACAAGCCATTGCTTCATTGAAAAGCTTGTTGTGATCAGGATTGGCTGCGCCAAAGCTCCATATGTCCTCACGATGTACTTCCTTAAACACTGAATTTCTAATATTACCTTGGATTCGGGCACTGAGCCATGCCACGGTGCCTGCATTACCGGGCTATTGTCTAGCAAAATGAAAGCAGCCATGCTGTTTTGTCCGGATTTCAATAGCTGTTTGGACAAAGGTGTTTGTGCATAAACTTTGGGGCCTAATGGGGTTGCTGGTTTTTCTTTGAATATTTTGAGGTGGACTAGGACCCTCATGATGCGGTAAAGGGGAGAAAGATCACATCTTAGAGCAGATGATAGCTCTAGGAGTGTCATGGGACTGCCATGGCTTTCAATTGTATCAGCTATTCCAAGCTCAATGGCACATTTTACCACTGCGATTTCGACAAACCCGAACACATATTTCCAGATTTCCACTTTGGCATGTTCTTCTTCTTTCTCTTCTCCTCCTAACTCTCTTTGTTTAACTTCCATCTCTTTGTGTGTGTGTGTGTGTCGTAGGCTCTAAGGTAGCTATATATATAATTTGCAGGAAGAGATTGGAGTATAGTTACATGCAGAACATGTGTTGAACAGTTTAGGTAATGTATCATTTTGATTGGGATTTTTTCCAGTTTCAACCACTCAATTTTAAATGTATTTTCATTTAATGGTATACAAAATTCTTCCTTGCCAACAAACCTTCCCTTTTTTTTTTTTTAAAAAAAAAAAATTAATTACCAATGAAGCAAACAAAAATCCAAATAATTAACAACATCTCATCATGATCATCTATTAAAAAAAAAAAAAAAAAAAAAAAAAAAAAAAATTGTCATTTGACACTGTTCAACACTTTGACCAAAAACAAAATCTCTTGAAGCTAGTCCTCCTTCCAAAAAAAAAAAAAATAAAAATCCATCAAAAACAAACTACAATATATCTAAAGAAGCTTTAATTCTGTGATTAATAGATGCTTCAATGCGCTTTGAAAAACTAACTAAACAAATATTACTTAACCCAACAAAAAAAAAAAAAAAAAAAAAAAAAAAAAAAAAAAAAAAAAAAAAAAAAATAAACTCTGTCTTTTACTGGGATCTTTCTCTCTACACCCCGAAAAAAAAGGGGGAAAATAAAAAAAAAAAGGGAAAAACAATAAAAAACTAAATTGTTGAGCATGTATAAACTCATGAACTTTATACTATCGGACAACCCAATTGAAGGGACTTATGTGTCTCTTTTTCTCTTTTTTTGGGTGACGTAGGGAGTAAACATCCCAGAACAAAAGAAACTATTCACTCTCGTCTAAACAGCCTAATCTAGCTTTAGGAATATCTGAAGTATCATCAGCTAAACAAGAACTGACCCAACTAGGAGCCGTGTCAAGAATGAACAAGCCCAAAATCCAAGTTATAGCTCCAGTTGGGAAGACAATCAACTCCATTCTTCCCTCTATACACATGCGTGAGGGTGAAATGACCAATTTTTCTCATCAGTTCACAGCAGCTATCAACCAAGGCTGCCAAAGGGTGCAAACGAACCAGAGAAGGCTGCAGGCAAAGGTTCATAGCGATAACGCTACCTTTTCAGTTTCTATTGTTTTGATTTATTTTTTAAATTAAATTAATCAAGAAAAGTGGAAAGTTTGTTGAGTTAATAAATAGAATAAGGCTAAATCAGGAAAAATCTTATTAAAGCATTGTTTCTCTCTCATAACAATGTCATCAAACAAATAATAAATAAATAATTAACTATAGTTAAATCCATGGACATGTGTAACCTTTTGAGAAGGGTGGTGTGGTGAGAGTACACTTTGGGTTAAAGTGGTGAGCAAAAATGCTCCCAAAATTGTTGGGATTACATCATGATAAGATGTGCCACGTGGAGTAATTGGAAATCTATAGGGCTAATCACGTGCTGACACTGATATCAAAAATATCCTCTGTGCAAACACAAAAGCATACAACTGTTCAAAATATCCTCTGTGCACTGTGCGTTGATGATAAGGTGGATCCTGGAAACTAAATTCATTTGGCAACTTGTGAGAACAACTTCTTTCACAGAAACCTACCTGCCTACCTGCCTACCTGCCTAAATTCATTTGGCAACTTGTGATAACGTGCACTGTACGTTTGGCAACTTGTGATAACGTGCACTGTACGTTTGGTTGTTGCTTCTCCTCTGTGCACTGCACGTTTATGAAGATCTTTTTGCCCAAAACCACTCGCATCGATTATCTCAACCACAACCACTCGTATTCATTTCCTTCAATAATGCCTCTATGGAATTAGCAATGTGATATAAAATCATTTAGAAAATTGCATATAAGAAAATTATATTATATTTAAAATAAATAAATAAATAAATAAAACCGAGAATAGCCGCTCGGCTACACTATTTATTTTAAAAACAGAGAGGACGGGCCTAGTATAAGTATAGCCGCGCGGATATACTTCAAAAAAATAAATGAAACCGAGTATAGCCCAGCGGCTATACTATTTTTTAAAAAAACAAATGAGTTTTCACTCATTTTTGCCATTTTCAAACCCCACCTCCCCCCCTCTTTTATTTTTATAGTTTTTTTTAGGCTTTTAGCTGTTTTTGCTGGCTTTCTCTGGCACCTTTTGTTTCTAGGTACGTCCTAGCATTGCATGTGTTTCTTTCTTTATGCTTCGTTGGTTGTTGCTTCTCCTTTTGTTTGTTTCACTGGTCTGTTTTGGTTGTGTTTATGAAGATTTTTTCCCCCAAAAAAAAAAAAAAAAAAAAAGAAAGGGACTACACAGTAAACCCCCCAACCCCCAACCTATAGGGTCATTTACGAGTCCATACCCAATTTTGGAGACATTTATGGGTACATACTCAACGTCGCGGAAAACCTACAGATTGCCCCCTCCTCCGTTAGCGAGTCCGTCAGGAAATCCGTTATCTGCCTACGTGGCAAATGTGGGTTCCATTTTTTTAATGAGGTGGACAAATAAATAATAAAAAATTATATAAAAACTAATTTTAAATCATTAAAATTATTTTAAAATTGATTATAAAATAAAAAAAATAAAAAAATAAAAAAAAACCAACCCAGAAGAACCCACCACTCTCCCCCGTCGCAACCCTCCCTCAACACCCACCCATGGCAGCCCAACACAAACAAAAAAATCCATCTTCTCCGATATCCCCCTCCATTCTTAACCGTCATCTTCTCTCTCCTCCTACCACCTTCTCCGACCCAACCCAACCCACAATATGAATCCCGACTAAATCCCTCAACCATCACCAACTCCACCTCGAAACCCAGCACATGCGCCCCCATCCTCAGCCGCTATCTTTTTCACCAGAGAGAAGCTTGGAGAAGAACCCAGATGCATCAGCACCTGCGCCCCCTCCTTCGTTGGGATTACATCATGATAAGATGTGCCATGTGGAGTAATTGGAAATCTATAGGGCTAATCACGTGCTGACACTGATATCAAAAATATCCTCTGTGCAAACACAAAAGCATACAACTGTTCAAAATATCCTCTGTGCACTGTGCGTTGATGATAAGGTGGATCCTGGAAACTAAATTCATTTGGCAACTTGTGAGAACAACTTCTTTCACGGAAACCTACCTGCCTACCGGCCTACCTGCCTAAATTCATTTGGCAACTTGTGATAAGGTGCACTGTAAGTTTGGTGTGTTGCTTCTCTTTTTGTTGTGTTGGTCTGCTGGTCTGTGTTTTTGGCTGTGTTTTTTTTATTTTTTTTTGCCCAAAAAAAAAAAAAAAAAAAAAAAAAAAAAAAAAACCTAAAAAACCCAATCCCATCTGTTACGAATGCGGTGGTTGGTGTGGCCGCGACGGCGCTTCATCAGGTGGTGGTGGTAGGGTTCGTCTAGGCTCATGGGATGTTTTAGGGTTTTTGTTACGTTGGGTTTGTGGGCTTTGTTTGAGTTTATGGTTAATTGTGATGATGTGGCTTAGTAGTTTTAGTGCGGCTTTTGTCCGCGTTAGTTGTGTTTTTAGCATGGGATCCGGATCCTCTGCTTTGATTTTCTCTGCCATAATTTGCTTTACTTTTGATCTCTATACGCCACCTCATTAAAATTTAATCTAATGGATTTAAAAGTTAACACATCATCCTAAAACAAAAACTCAATTTACTCATAATTAAAAAAGAATAAAAGAAACCATAACACCCAACTAACGGGATGTTTAACGTCCAAAACTCTTTTTCTTTTTTTTTCTTCTTCTTCTTCGTGTTCTGTCGTCCTCTCTCTTTTTATCCTTCTTGCTTCAGTTTTGTCATCTTCTCCTTCTTGCTTCAGGTTTTGTCCTCTTCTCCTTCTTGCTTCAGGTTCTATCCTTTTCTCTTTATTTAAGTTCATATTCATCTTACCTTAAATGTTGAATGTCAATCACAGCTCCAAATACAGCTATTACCCTCGCATCAACCCCAGAAGAGAACTAGGCGGTCAACCCTCGAAAGGAGGAAGAAAGGCTATGAACTTGATGATATCCTTTTTATAAGTCATGGTAAGTTTTTTTATTTATTAAAATCAATTTTCATAACTACCTTATACAGGCTATGAACTTGATGATCGATAAGCCACATACAACTTCAAATGTTGATCAAACTGGAGATGGCATCTGGAATCAGGGGTATATTATGCATTCAGTAATACCTTTATTATGAAATTTTATTTGTATAATAGTAACTAGTTTTTTCTTTGTTTTTTTTATACAGGTCAATATATCAATAGGAATGCTTGCCAAAGATACACAACTGTTCTTTCTTTTATTATTGATGTGTAAATTTATGTTTGTCATGTATTTGATGGGAAGATTATAAACCTTTTGTCTTTTTAATGGAGATTATAAATATTTATTCGATTCTATTTCCTACATCCATTCTTTTGTTTTCTCTTTAGCACTCTAGTTAGCTAGATGATGGCATGATGGTTTATGCAAGGAGAGAAAACTAGGAGAAAATGGCAGAAAGAGATAAAGAAAAGAACAGAACAGAAGTGAATAAGGAGGAAAAAAAAAACAGAACGAGAATAAGGAAAACAGAAAGAAAAAAAAAGGAAGCTGGACGTTAACTACTGTTAGTTAGGGTAGGGATTTTTTTTATTCTTTTTTAATTATGAGTAAATTGAGTTTTTGTTTTAAGATGATGTGTCAACTTTTAAATCCGTTAGATTAAATTTTAATGAGGTGACGTATAGAGAACAAAAGTAAAGCAGATCATGGCAGAGAAAATCAGAGCAGAGGATCCAGATCCTTTAGGATGTTAGTTTGTTGCCCTCCTGAGATTGATATTTTAGATGTCTTGTTGATGTCTTAGATTGTACCGTTGAAGTTTATCTAATGAAGTTTCTATTTGATAAAAAAATAAAATAAAATTATAGAATGATACTTTAAGAGAAAATTCTCGTCAACCACTTCTAGTTCGGATAATATGGATAGTTTGAATTCGAGAGATGTGGTGGGTAGTTGGAAAGAAAGTGAGTTGCAAGATGAAAACTCGTCGTGGACAATTGTAATATGATTTTTTAAATTAATTATGAATTATAATATTATCGTTTCATTTTTATGGGTCTATTATTTTGAATATAAATTTTTTAACCTTCAAGACGTTGACCCCCAAAAGGAAAATTCCTGAACCCGTCCCTAGCAGTATATGTATAATTTTCAGGAAGAGATTGGAGTTGAAAGCTTTATATACATAATGTCATAGAAAATCTGCTGAACATTTAGAAATCTGTCATCCTCATTCAATATTGAACAGTCAATTTTGAAGTAGATAAGAGCTGGGGCCAATGCAGGGAGTGAAGGTAGTGCCTTTGTCTTTTGCAGTTTCAAAAGTGATCTACAGCAAATCAACAAGAATCACTTATTTATTGAAAAAATCTGCTTGGGAAACTTATTTTCAAGAGATTATCATAAGATCCATCAGATGTGATTCAAGTGGAAATTAATTGCATTATAAAAGGCCAAGAACAATCCAGCCTAGTTATGGCCCACTGATACTCTCAAAAAATCAATCCCAAGTTGTCCAAAACTAATATCCACTCAGTTCATACTCATGCGTTTCTGATTTTTACCTTTGCATTATCAGGCAAACACAAAAGCATACAACTGTTCAAAATATCCTCTGTGCACTGTGCGTTGATGATAAGGTGGATCCTGGAAACTAAATTCATTGGCAACTTGCGAGAACAACTTCTTTCACGGAAACCCTACCTGCCTAATATTGCACATCTCTTTCCTTCACAAATGGCTCCCTGGAATTCACATCTATTATCTCAACAGCAAACACTCGTATTCATTTCCTTCAATAATGCCTCTATGTAATTAGCAGTGCGATGATATGAAAATCAAATCATTTAGAAAATTGCATATAAGAAAATAATAAATCAAGTTCATACATGGTCAATGGGGATTCCGATCTCCTCATTAGTGTCTTTTTCTTCTTCTTTTTTCGGGTGAATAAAAGCAAACTACTCATAGTGATTTAAACAAACCATCCGAGTCTTACGAACAGCCAACAAGTCATCTAAAAGTTTTGAAACACTACACAGGAGCATAATCAAACACACATAGGCCCAAATCGAAGTTATAGCTCAAGTTAGCTATACAATCAGCCAACCCATTCTGCTCTCTGTAAACATGGAGGACTGAGCAGTTACCAATCAGTTTTGGATAAGGAGACAGCTGCAGCGTAATCCATCTCAATCACAAGGTTCCTAATACCTTTGTCAATCGCAAGCTGCAACCAAAGAAAAGCCCCCAAACTTCAGCTTTCCAAATCAAATTTACTCCTTGGTTAAGTTTAATTGACACATCCTAATTCAGGGTGTGTACAACAGAAACACAGCTTGATTTCTTAGGGTGGTTTCTCCAGTGTTACAAAATACAGCACAGTAGTAGGCTTTGAAATTGCGATGACACTTTTTAAGTTTGAACTAGATTTGGTGGGGTGCGCCAGGCCCATGCAATAGTGCAACGCTTGGGCGACGCAAGAGAGCCCCAATAGCAAGCTACTGTGGCGGGCCCTCCCCCTAAAGAAATTAATTTAATATCGTGTGGACCATTGGTCCACGTATCAGATATTAAACTGATAAGAACAGATACTACACTTGATCTTAGCCAAAAGGCCGAGAAAGGTATGCTTCTTCTCTTCTCTTCTTTCTCCTTTTATAGGGCCCTTCACTTCCATGCTCTTCCTTGGTGAAGCCAATGTGGGATTGTTACAAACAGCTAGAGGGTGCCAAGAACGAAGGCTGAGGGATAAAGATTTTTTTAATCGAATCGTACTACAAATTATGGAAAGATGCTTGCAGGAACAATCTCATTCATTCAATATTGTATTATAGTATAAATTAATCTTTAGCTAGGTACATTATTTTCTAGCTGTAACATCAAATACCTACATAGGATACATGTGTGACTTTGTTGAGGCAGATGTTTTTGGGGGTAATGTAGTAAAATAAGAAAGGAAGACTTTGTCCATTATTTACAAAGATCATGACTTTGTGGACTAGATCAAGTAAGGATCTTTATAATTAAGATACGGAAAAAACATGTCATGTGTTTACGAAATTCTTCCATTTCAGACAACTTTTACTTTTTCTAGATCATCGACTACGCTTTATTCAAATCATAGCCATGAACTCAGATATCAATGAAACTTGAATAGAATTCATTAAACATGTTTTGTTTTGAGAGCAACTCTTTTTTTTTGGTTTCTTCAATCCTGTTTTAATAACCTGCCGATCGGGTTCTGCTTTTACTGGATGTTTGCCATGCATTGCTTGACCTTCCATTAATATTTCATTCTTACTTGTGTGGAGGGCTACAAGTACTAGAACAGCATGATCTAATCAACTCTATTATTAGCAGTATGTTGATGGTCCTGATTATGCCATATCATTGATGCTATATCAGATGCTTTAGTTAGTTAGAAGGTTAACAGTTTGTTAAATTGTTATCAGAGAGCTAAGCCTCTACTGGGCTGTATAATATACTGTGCTCTTGTAATGAATTCAATCGAGTCAATACAGATGATACAGTATTCTGAAGAAAACTCTATCTGATTTTGCTTAGCTTCCATCCATTGGCTCTGTCTCGTAAATCGTAACGACATTGAAAGACAAACTAATGGAAAGAAAGACATTGGAGTGCTGTGAATCGCATATATGCGTACCTTAAAAATCAAAGCATGTGTTGCTCAAAAACATGCCTGCTAGTATTGGGATAGAAAGATATATAGCAGCCACAATGCATTTGCTCAGATTTTATTGCCAACCATCCAAAGATTACAAACTGCAAGAGCAGCAGGCTTATTAACTCAACAATTTTGACAATGATGCAACAGGTAAAGACCAAAAGGTAACTTAACAATACAATGAAGCAACTCCAAAACAAAGGCCCGAGTCACACTGATGCCATAATGATCTAACTTGAAAGCATACATAGCTATTTGCTGAAGAGACTGAATCCAAACTTTTTGGATGTTGAGAGTGACAAATGTTAACCAATGCATCCATCCGCAAGGAAATTTACCTCCATAACCAAGGTTGGAAAGAGGGATATAAACTTGGCAACCAAATGTAAAATATCTTGAGACTATATTTATAGGGCCTTACTCCGAAGAGAGAGCCCTTACAGAAATTCTCAAGGGCACATGGCTGTACCAAGGCCCAAGAGGGGGTTTGGAAATAGTTTTCAACCAGCAATAGACGCGCCTCGGTTAGAACCTCATAAGCTGCGTCATTGCCCCAAGCGCAAAGATACTTCAATCATTGGCTTCCGCTCGCTTTTATACCACTACAGCGGCTTGGCCTTTTCCGCTCTGTCGATGTGGGACTACAACTTCTTCTTTCACACATACAACGATCACTATGCCATATACCATCGCATGTTTGGCTAATAATTGTAAATGCCGATGTGTAAAATCTAGAAGATGAATGTTGTTTCTTGTCTTAGCTTGTGATACATACCAATTTGGAATGTGAAATGCCGCCTTTCTCTTTACCAAATTTTAATCAATTTTTCACTTTCCTAAATTTGAGTTTATACATCTGCATTTAAAGATTACAAAAGACTACATAAAGCAAGAGAAGTAGGCTTATTATTAACTTAACAATTTTGACAACGCTGCAACTAGAGAAAGACCACAAGGTAAGTTGAACAATACAATGAAACAGGACTAATTTGAGAACACAAATCCACATCCTTTGCTTTTTGTTCTCTAAATTTAAGGAAAAGCCTGAATAACAGATTGGACAGCATGAATCGGTGTAATAGTGTGTCGGCTAAAGCCAGCCTCACCAAGAACATATCCCCATTCCTTCAAGGTCCTTTCTTTTCCTGTGCTATTATGGGCCATCATCACCATGTCTAGCATCAATCTTACATTTCTTAGCTTGCTGTCCTCTTTCTCATCTTTTTCATCGATAACCGCTTCTATGATTATCACCTTCCCTTTATCCTCAGGAATAGCTTCCCTGCACTTCTTAAGGATACGGATGCACTCATCATCGCCCCAGTCGTGAAGAACCCACTGCAATTCACGAAAACAGAATCAGAGTATCCATTGTCATAATGCTTTGTTGAGCAAGAAAACTTGTAGCAAGATAACCAGGGAGTGATGGCAGAGGAACCACATTTTTTCTTATCCCATTAGCGCAGACAAATGATGTAATAAGTAGACATTAACAGATAAATCAAATGATGAAACTAATTGTTGATGCTAGCTATTTTAAGGCTGCTCTTCCTTAAATGGTTTAGTTTTCTCGATTTCTTTTAACTATATACATATGATACATATATATATATATATGTGTGTGTGTGTACCAACCTTCATAATTACAGCGTCAACCTTTGGAACAAATTCAAACATGTCACCTCCAACATTCTCAATGCGGTCACACTCCTGAGCAAGAGACACAACATGAGGAAGATCAAAGTTGATACCTCGAATCCAAGGACATGCCTCAATTAACAAGCGCAAAGTAGTCCCATCACCCCCGCCCACATCTACAATTGTCTCAATCCCTTTGAACACCTCTGAACAACTTTCAATCACTGCAGGCACAGTCACCCTTGCATCACAAGCCATTGCTTCATTGAAAAGCTTGCTGTGATCAGGATTGGCCGCGGCATAGCTCCATACATCCTCTCCATGTACTGCTTCAAATGCTGGATTGCTAATACCTTGAATTCGAGCACTTAGGCCATGAAACGGTGCCAGCATTACCGGGCTATTCTCTAGCAAAATGAAAGCTGCCATGCTGTTTTGTCCGGATTTCAATAGCCGTTTGGACAAAGGTGTTTGTGCATAAACTTCGGGGCCTAATTGGGTTGCTGGTTTTTCTTTGAATATTTTGAGGTGGACTAGGACCCTCATGATGCGGTAAAGGGGAGAAGGATCACATCTTAGAGCAGATGATAGCTCTAGGAGTGTCATGGGGCTGCCATGGCTTTCAATTGCATCAGCTATTCCAAGCTCAATGGCACATTTTACCACTGCGATTTCGGCAAACCCGAACACATATTTCCAGATTTCCAGTTTGGCATGTTCTTCTTCTTTCTCTTCTCCTCCTAACTCTCTTTGTTTATCATCCATCTCTTTCTGTGTGTGTCATAGGCTCTAAGGTAACAATATATATAATTTGCAGGAAGAGGTTGAACAGTTTCTATTGTTTAGATTTATTTTTTAAATTAAACTAATAAATAGAATAAGACTAAATCAGGAAAAATCTTATTAAAACATTGTTTCTCTCTCATAATAATGTCATCAATTGTAAAAGAAGTTGTAGTCCCACATGGATAGAGCGGAAAAGGCTGAGTTGCTGTAGTGGGATAGAAGCGAGAGGAAGCAAATGACGCAGCTTATGAGGTTCTAACCGAGGCGCGTCTATTGCTGGTTGAAAACTATTTCCAAACCCCCTCTTGGGCCTTGGTTCAGTCATGTTCCCTTCAGAAATTCTGGAAGGGCTCTCTTTGGAGCAAGGGTTTAGCCGCTTGAAAGAGTATAACCCGTCGGTTATACTATTTTAAAAAAATTATTTAAAAAATGGAGAGAAACGTTAATAAAAACCAAGTATAGCCGCGCGGCTATACTATTTATCCAACAGTCAATTTTGAAGTAGGTAAGAGCTGTAGCCAATGCAGGGAGTAGTCGATTTTGAAGTAGGTAAGTAGGTAAGTAGGTAAGAGCTGGGGCCAATGCAGGGAGTAGTCAATTTTGAAGTAGGTGAGTGCTGGGGTCAATTTTGAAGTAGGGAAGAGCTGGGGTCAATTTTGAAGTAGGTAAGAGCTGGGGCCAATGCCAGGGAGTGAACAACTTCTTTCACGGAAACTTGTGAGAACAACTTCTTTCATGGCCTAATATTGCACATCTCTTTCCTTCAGGGACTCATGTTTCCCATAAATGGCTCCCTGGAATTCACATATATTATCTCAACCACAAACACTTGTATTCATTTCCTTCAATAATGCCTCTATGGAATTAGCAGTGCGATATCAAAATCAAATCATTTAGAAAATTGAATATAAGAAAATAATAATACTATATTTTTAAAATTTAAAAAAAAATCAAAAAAACCGAGTAGAGCCGCTCGGCTATACGAAAGAGAGGACTGGCCTTGCGATTAGGCGTCCATGTGTCAAAATAAGTATAGCCGCACAGCGATACTTTTAAAAAAAGTAATAAAATCGAGTATCGCCACGCGGCCATACTATTTTGAAAAAAAATAGGGAGCAAAGCTGCTGCTTGATAACTCCCCATACCCCACACACACACAACATAAACCAACCCCCCCAACCCAACCCCCACCCCCCCCTCCCCTCCCCTCCCCTCCCCTCTTATTCATTTCCTTCAATAATGCCCTATGGAATTAGCAGTGCGATATGAAAATCAAATCATTTAAAAAATTGCATATAAGAAAATAAGAAATCAAGTTCATACATGGTCAGTGGGAATTCAATTGTTACAAATGGAAAGTGATCCACATATTTTAATCAGAGTATTGCAAGGATTCCGATCTCCTTATTAGTGTCTTTTTCTTTTTTTCCGGGTGAATAAAAGCAAACTACTCAGTGATTTAAACAATGGAGTTTTACTAAAACACCCAAAATAGAGGTTGAAATTATAAAAAAACCCAAGCACTATTTAAACATATAAACACACCCAAAACCCATCATTACACACACTCAAAACTCATATATAAACACACCCAAAAAGTTGACTTTGAGGTTGATTTTGGGTGTGTTTCTATGTTTAAATAGTTCTTGGGTTTTTTTATGAATGCAAGTCTAGAATTGGATTTATTTATAAATTTATATTTTTTTAATTCGCGAGGTTAACTTAATTTACACATCTTAATTCAGGGTGTGTATAGAAACACAGCTTGATTTATTAGGGTGTCTCCAGTGTTACAAAATACACAATGGCAGGCCTCGCAATTGCGAAGGACAATTTTAAGTTTGAACTAGATTTGGTGGGGTGCGCCAGGCCCATGCAATAGTGCAACGCTTGGGCGACGCGCGAGAGTCCCAATAGCAAGCTACTGTAGTGGACCCTCCCCCTAAAGAAATTAATTTAATATCGTGTGGACCATTGGTCCACGTATCAGATATTAAACTGATAAGAACAGATACTACACTTGATCTTAGCCAAAAGGCCGAGAAAGGTATGCTTACTCTTTTCTCTTCTTTCTCCTTTTATAGGGCCATTCACTTCCGTGCTTCTTTGGTGAGGCCGATGTGGGATTTTTACAAACAGCTAGAGGGTGCCACGAACGAAGGCTGAGGGGTAAAGGCTAACGAAGGTAAAATGTCGGCGACAAAACGAAGATAATTACATACAAGTTGTACGAAAGGACTGCTTTTCTCATAAAAGAGAAACAAAGGCCGCTTGCGATTTGGGAAAAACGTATGGCCAAGGCTTGGTATATGTGCTAACTATTTATGGTTCCAAATTGCTTAGAAGAAGTTAATCACACTCATGCTCTAATTAGACGATAACACAAGTTAAAACACTCTTTAATTGGTGTTCACTCTTCATCTATTATCTAGACTTGAACAAGCCCCATTAATGTTCAACAGACCCATTTGGCACTTTTCATCACACAATGATACAAGCTTCAAGGAGTGGCTTATTTATTAGTATCATATAATTCTTCTAAATTATCAAATCTAATCCTTCCAAGATATTGACGTTGGTTCAAGTAATGAGGCTAAGCGAGAAATTGAGTTAGGATTATGATAAGTAAAAAATTTCATTCTCTTCTATTATAACAAAATAATTGAAGGCCACATTTATTGTTTCAAAAATGACATTAGTTCATGTTTACCAGGAAACCAACACAATTGGGCTGTCACTTGTTATTAAAAAACACATATAGTCTATTTGAAGAGAAAAATTCAAAACTAGTCACTCGTTCTTTTCTAATTGTTCTTATAAAATTTTAACACACTAAGAATTAATTAGAAAATAACAAATGCGTTTTTCAATTTTTAATGATAGTACTAAGAATCAATTATAAAATAAGAAGTGGTTAGTTTTGGGTTTTTAAATGTTGGTGAGTCTTCCTACCACGCAGATTCAGGCCACAATGAAATTCTGGAGTTTTTAATTACAAATTTGGAAGTTATTCCATGTTCTAATAATTAGTTGTAATTATAATCATGTATATGAAAGAATGCTTGAACTAGGAATTGTAGGGCTTTACCCCGAAGGGAGCCCTTCCAGAAATTCTCAGAGGCCACGGCTGAACCGAGGCCAGTGAGGGGGTTTGGAAATAGTTTTCAACCAGCAATAGACGCGCCTCGGTTAGAACCTCATAAGCTGCGTCATTGCCCCAAGCGCAAAGATGCTTGAAAGAATGGCTTCGTCTCGGTTTTATACCCACTAGAGCAACTCAACTTTTATCACTCTGTCGATGTGGGAGTTTGTTGGGTTCAAAACAAGGGTTTACTAGGCCTGTTAAACCGATTTCCAATCGAGCAAGCTGTCTTTCTCACCAGGGAAAATAATCCGTAGCCTCAAATCAACGTAAAAAGGATTCTGTTCAATTTTTATTATGTACAAAAGTGAGTTCAGACATTTACAAGTTGGAAAAATTGTTCATCTATGCAAAACATTCATCGACCAAGCCGGCCTCTCTCTCTCTCTCTCTCTCTCTCTCATACAAAAGCATATGACGTGCACACACGCTCACAACATTTTGTTCTTTAAGGAAGACCTTAGCTTCTCCACAGCAGCTAAAAGTGAGGAATTTGTTTCACAAGCTTCATTTAGTAACGCAAGCCTCTTCTCGATGGCATTCCAAGCTGGTGATCCATCCTCTTGCTTGATCCTATGTGATGTAGATGGCTTGTTATATTGAATTAGGTTCAACATCATTGCCTGCAATTACATTCCACATTTGTATTAGATTTTCTTTCAATTATTGCTTTGTGGAGATAAGGGCCAAGTAGAAGAAAAGAAAAAAGGTGGTTGTGATAAGAGTAGTTATTATGTACTACGTATTTCCATAGTATAAACAAAACTAACTTCAATGCTCATATCAAATAATGTATTCTATCCAACTTGATGATGGAAGCAGCCTGGAAAGCAGTCCCCATAGGGCCATAACTGTGCAATTAGAACCAATGGTTCAAACTGAGAGTTTAATTCCTTTCCAAGGGGCTGCTTAAATTAAGAGAACTACTTGGTCGACAATACAAAGTGGTTTCCCTTTCTCTCTGACTGCATTCGTTGTATTGGCATACGACACAGTTCATAGCAAAATTTCATTTTCAACATAGATGGAGTTGTTTCTGTACAGGAGTTCTTAGAAGGCATATTTTGTATGCTACACATTGCTAGACACAATCTACTCTCTGGACAGATTTACGCACTAAACGCAATATACACGAAGAGTTTAACTGTTGAAATTTTTTGCATACCTCATGTTGTTGCTTCAAGGAGAAGTCTAGCAAAAGAGACCTTGAGAGCTTATTCCGAAGCAATAGCTTATCACCAGTGCACGAATTAAAAATGAATGCTGAAAGGTGATGGAGAACCAGTGTATATGCAAGTGATCCTCGACTTGCAGCTCTATCGAGGGCACCAGAAGTCCATGCCTTCGCGTAAGCCTCTAAAATACCAAAATTATCCTGCACAAGCACCAGAATTTATACATTTTCATCACCTTGCAGTAAAAAGACCATTTATTTTAAATTGCATTATTACTCTCACACACACAAACATGCACACACCCACACAATCTCACAAAACTAAATTAAAGATACTCGAAGCTCATATTGATACAAACAAGTCAATGACTAGTCAGCAGTACCTCAACAGGTTCGAGGTAACCCTCAGCATCAGTAAAGCAATTCTCTAAAGGTGGCAGAAGTTCAAGAACACGAGAATTAGTTAGTGTATTCCAGGTAGCAAGGCGCACAGGAGCTTCCACACAACGGTGAAGATAAACTGCAACTTGCCGGCCATAAACCAAATCACCATAAGATATAGCAGAAAACTGCTCCACAAGAGTTTCAATGAATGTTGAGTAAGTCTCATGAATCTCCGATTGGAATGCCAGAAACTCCAGGTTGTTTTCATTTCTAGGTTCTGTCAATAAGTTGCACAACGTTGCCTGATGAAGAAAATTCCCATAGAGATCTTGCAAAGCTTCATAAACAGCTCTACTCCTCTCATCCTCAATGACACCCATTCCAACAAGTAAGATCATAGATAGAGAATGCAATTTCCAAACTAACGATACACTTTTAACTGGGGATGGGATGTCATCTGGTAAGAAACTGGACAGTGCTTCAATACCCAAAAGGAAGAAAAGCCCAGCTTGGGAAACTACAAGAAAATCACCTGGATCCTGAATGAGATCTTGTAAATTGGAAGATTTTTTAAGACCAGCCTGCTTGCTATCACAAAGGGTTGAGATTGGACTGAGAAACCAGGAAATGGGTAGTGGCAGCCTCTGGTGAGCCCACTCTACAACTAAAGAACTGCAGTCTTGACTGATCATATGTGATGTGTCCAAGTCCTCATATATGGTGTCAAGGGAACCTTTACCATTCTTAAGTGGTTTACTGCCAGATAAATTATTGCCATCACTATCTTTGAGCTTTTTCTTTACAGATAACCATCTGTTATTGAAATGGGAAGCTAATGTTTCACTGAAGAGTTGGTAATCCTCTTCTTTATACTCCCAATCAAACACTTTAACTCCCTTATTCGAGAAAAGAAAACGCCTAATACAGAGATCAAGATACTTCAGAACTGAGACATCAAGCAAAATATTTATTGCCTTTTTCACAGAAGTCCCATCTGTAGGTCCTGCAGTTACACATACTCCTAGAGATGAATTAATTGCCAGCATAGTCAAAGTCATTTCTTCTTCGGTGGGGATATCAAAATTGGACACAATCTTCCAAATTTCAAGTAGGTCAATGAGAAATCTTGAATCAGCTTGAGATAACAAAAAAGTAGCAGACCAATATCCTCCACCAGAGGCACCCCAGCCAACTCCCACTCCAGGAGCAGGACCACCCCTGCCAAACATCTCAATGGACTGCACAAGGTGCCAGTCTGAAGCAACTAGCTTCATAAAAGTATTTTGCACACTTCTCAATTCAACCAAACACCCCCCAAGTATACCATCCTTGAGTATTTTCTCTTCTCTTGTTGAAGTGTAATTTTGGGAAGGAGTTTGGACGCCTGTCCTGGCTAACATTATCAATTTATCAATGCTAATGATAATCCCCACTAACCCCTGTAAGCAACATACAGAAGCTAATGATGTTTCAAATGTACCCTGACTTCTCAAATGACAAAGTTTCTCAATGAAAGAGCCACTTCCATGCGGATCTTTTCCATATTTTGCATCATTAGTATCTGAAAGGTCCATAAACCCATTTTTAATAATTTCTAGTCCAACTTTAGGAACAAACTTTGGAAGCCATGGCACAAGACTACCACTTTCATGCGAGTGGACAGTATCATCTGGGATCACTTTTTCAAGCACTCTGGAAAGCATGTGCATGACAGCTGAATACACCCATAACAAGGAAGTCACTGATAAATCTTGGGACACAAGAAGAACACCAACTCCATTTTCCTTCTCAAATAAATTACATATGCTAGGATCACTCTTCATAACTATCCACTTCAAAGCTATACCAACCATTGGACCAACATGGCTCCAAGACCACAACTCAGTGTCATCACCAGAATACTCAGAGATTTGATTGCGCAGATTCTTCTGTGAGAACAAACTTGGAAGCCTTCTAGCCAAAGCCTCCAGCACAAGGTAGCCCTCCGTAGTAATGGATGCAAATTCACTAAGTACATCATTCTCTATAAGCTTTTCAATTATAGGTGGGTTCAGCCATATGCACAAGTTGGGGAAAATATCTGAGAAGTATGACACACAATGCCCATGCTGAATGCAAACCTTCCAAAAACGCAGCTGTTCAACCATCAAAGCAGAAGAAAGTTGACAGTTTTCCTTTCCAGATTTTACCCATTTGTCAAGGAAGGAAATAGATTGATACAAATGCCATGTCATAGTTTGGAAACTCCCATTCTTTATAAAATCAACACAATTCCTCCCATCAGATTGAGCCAACACCTTTTATATACACAAAATTAAGGATATGAGTATTAATTTTATCTCGAATTAAATGCAGGTACAATTCCCATCTAATAGGATTAGGAACAAAACCTATAAGACAACTGGAAATAAAAGTACATAAACTGCCTACCTTTAGAAGTCTAACAGACTTTATTTTAGAAGGCTGGATTTCTACACTCTCTTTTGCAATAAATCTGCTGACAACTGTTTGGATTAGCCTTTGACAATTCATGACTGCATTTGCACATTTTGGGGAATGCCTTGCAATAGCTATAAGTAAAGAAATGATGTATTCTTCCAAAGCCGCTGTAGGGTCTGACTGAAACCACACAAAACAATACACATTAAGAGGAAACTGAAGATCATCTTTCCACAAGTTCTTAAAAAGTCCTTTATTCAACAACTTTTCTAGCAGTATCTTACCATATATATAACACTAATAATTGGTGAATCGTGTTTGCTCTGTTCTGTAAAAAGAAAATAAAGGACTAACCTCCAAAAGATAACGAAGCCTTGGAAGGATTCCCATCCGTACCAAACCTGCAGCAAAATCTTGTCCAGCAACCACAACATCATCCTGAATTGTACGTTTCCCTTCAGTCTCATCATCAATAATTTCCACATCAAGTGCAAGAATATTAGAAGGCTTAGCATTGTACTTCCAGAATCCACCACGTAGGAAACCAACAGCAATCTCTGGTTTACTTCTAAATACAGGGGCAGTAAATGTATCCTTATGACGAGTTGCTATTTTCTGAAGAGCAGAATACATCAAACTTGAAGTAATTAAATACTGATAGATAATTAAAAAAACAAAGATATATATATATATATATATATAAGTATAATAGTAGGAAGAAAAGGAAAGAAAAACTCTACCTCTGAGATATCAAAGAAGTTCTCATTCACATCATAGCTCAATATGCAGTGAAGAACTTTGGCACAAGCTAGAACTACAGAACTATGGTTATCATCGAGACAAAGCCTACAATTCAGAGGTTAAATTGCAATGTTATTAAGTCCAAAAAAAATCAAAGAATCAGAAAATGGTGAAGTATCTCCAAGTAAATAATTATATCCTCAGGTTAACTGTTTTATTCTATCAAATACTATAATTGGTTGATGATAAATCTAAGTCATCCAATAATTTTTCAAGGGGCATATGACTATAGCTTGGATATATAACCCGCAAACAGAGAGAACACACTGAACTTTTTCTCGAGGGGAATATGACGAATTAACTATAACATGTAAAGATGAAATAACTAGACTATCTTGCCTTTTATGATCCAATAAATGAACAGAAAATTTAGAATAATTCAGGTTGAATACATGTAATGAATTTTATGAAACCATTAATCTGGGCAACAATATACCTCCTTGTTATCTAGGTCATGATAATAAAAGGTACAGAGTATAAATAATCATGTATTATTCTGACGGTACAAGTGTACACGTGGAGCATATATCAAGCTAGAACTGATTCCTAATGATCTAAAAAGTATTTTTAGAATAGACAATAAAAGAACTTGCCAGTTCAAACTATAATTGTGCATTTATATTTCTTTATCAATGTTTTCTGTGCCTTATTTGGATCCACGGATTGCTTTATACATGGCAGGTATACTAAGGACGTAAAAAATATAAATGGTAGACCATGACACCTGAATCTACTCATTAGTGATGATATTGACAAACATGATTAAAGAAAGATCATAACTCAATATTACAAACAGTCAACTCTGTGAAACAACATCGAGGCTTATCCATGTTTGACAGATCAATTGGTATGCAATAACACCACAAAACAAACTCACTAACAGAAGAGTAAGATTACAAGATAAAGGCAGATAATTCAGGCATGACTGATTTCAACAAAATTTTGGAATATAAGGATTCAGATATAACTCACCTGAGGGATAAAATAAGCTCAGGTTCAGGGCCAAGTGCATAAGCCCAAACAGCCTCCCAGTCAATAGATTTGTCAACTTTATTAGCATCTCTTCCATCAAACTGCACTTGCATTTGATGAATATTCTGTAATGCCTTATCAAGCACAGTTGAAAGGAGATGCAATGACAGGGACCGTTGTCCTGGAATCTGAAACCACCAAACAGCATATGGTAAAACAAGATAACAGAAATCAGGAGGAAGAGCTACAAGATTTCGGACATGATATACCAGAGACCCATGAACACAAGATACTATCCAAAACTTTATTTCACAACTACAGAAATCAAGAATATAAACTAACCACACTCCTAGTGAGTGACACTGCTTCTTTGATGGTATAGCCAGCAGCACCAGGATCCCCCTCAGTACGCAGGAAGTCACGCTCAGAAACATTACCTGTAACATGGAAGAAATAATTAACTGAAAGCCTATTGAGATACATGTTATCTTTTTAAAAAGTACCATCATTAATGCAGTTGCACTTCCCAGACAGCAAAAATTACCGATGCTATTAATTTCATTGTAAAAGAAAATTTAACTACAGAATTAAGTCCCAGACTTTTAGAGAAAATAGAACAGTAAATATAGCAAAGACACGAGTGATATCCATAATGTCTTGTGAAATAGAACAAAATGAAAAGGTTAGCGTCTGCCCAAAGATTATATAAACGAGTAATATAACTTACTACTCTTAGGTATCTGGTGGAAACCATTAAAAATAACAGTCCCATCCAAGGAAAATCTCAATTCCCTAGCAGCCTCGACTCTCTCCCTCCAAGCAGTCCACAAACTTCCACTCGCTTGGCCTGAGTTCTGCTCCAACCCATTCTCTTCCGCTGTCTTTGTATGGTTTGAGGTAATTGTTGTGTCTACATGAGACATGCCACTTTGAGAGCTAGGGGAAAATTTTGGTTCATTGTTATCCAAACTGGGGCTTCTTTGCTTCCTCAATTTCTCTTCACCCCTCCTTTTGAGCACATTGAGCAGCGCAGGGTCCAGCCTTCCCATGATCTCAGCCTGTGCTTCAGCAATCTCATCCGCTGACATTCCTTGCAAACGAGCACGGTTCTCTTCATCAATCTGAGTCTCAAGCGACATGGACACTTGTTCATTTTCAACATTATCAGCAAGGGACTTTGGACTTGGGCCCGCTTGAATTTTCATGTCATTCTTACCCAATACAAATTCTTGTTCAGTCAAGTTGCCCAACACAGATTCTTGTTCAGTCTTCAAGTTGCCCAACAGAGGCTTTGGCTGGGGATGCAATTTATTTGAGCCATTCTTTCTAGTACTAGCTTCCATTGTTTCCCTAACTGTTCTAGTCCTATTCACACCAAGCTCCTTCTCTGCCCACTTGCTAAAGTCCATTTCTTTTTTCTTCTTCCTCTCTACTGGGTTGGCATAAGGCTTTATGGGTTCAAAGTTCATAACATCATCACCGCCATCACCATAATCCACACCCTCATTACCGCCCAAATTACTATTCACCGGATTTCGATACTGTAGCATCAACCAAAACCAGTCACAAATTCATGTACAAATTTACCATTTTTCTCAAATATTCACTAAACCATTTGACAGTAGCGACCAAATTATCAGCTTGCTAGGGCTTACCGGGAGGGCGGAGCGGTGGCGAGCAACAGGGAAAGGAAGAACGGTGGGCCGAGGCGGTGGAGTGGGGCACAACATTGACTTATCGGAAATACCTTTCTCGACTATGCCGCCGATTAAACTCGAAGCATCGCCCTCGCTTAACTGAAGCGCGTCGGTCCCGACTATCACCTTCGTCTTCCTCTTCATCTCGCCTGGACTGCTTGCTTTGCTGCTTTGCTTCTTCTCCATAACTATGAGCTTCACTCTGAATGAACTTTCAGAAAGTAGGGCTTGGACATTTGGGCGGGCTCAATTTAATATATACCAGAGTCCAGAACCAGCCAACAACAAGTACCGAAAACGACGCCGCTTGGCTCATTTAAAATTAGGCTAAACGACGATGCCACGTGACGTTTTATACCACTGTGGTCCCCACTAGTTCCTTTGGCGTTTCTCATTTCTTCTGATTTTCCAATAGCTGTATCCTCAACTTTCTCGCCAATTTTCCCGTACTTTCCCGGGAAAGTGAAGTGAAATCCATGGCCGATTGGTCTCAACTCCCCAAGGAGCTCCTAGAGGAGATCGCTAAGCGCCTAGAGAGCCCCTTCTATCTGCTCCGTTTCCGATCCGTTTGCTCCTCATGGCGATCTTCAGTCTCTTCCAGACCTCGCCGTTTACCAGGTCGGTTTCCGTTCCTCACAAACCATGGCATCTGCGACACCACCTTAGGTTTCCACCTCTCGCAGCGCACCGTATTCCTCATGGGGTTGCCTAATTTCCGCAACCAAACAAACCCAGATCGCTGGCTGGTCAAGATCGAAGAAGACGTGCCGGGGAGAATGCATTTGCTGAACCCACTCTCCCGGTTTCAACTGAATCCTCTGCCTGAATCTTTCCCAAAGGTATTGGACTTATCCAAGTTTTGGGTTTTTGAGTTGGGTGGAGAATATGTTCTTCACTATGTGCATTTTAGGCCTTTTGGTAATGGTAACTCTTTTGGTGATGCTGGCAATTTGTACATGGAAAAGGTAGTTTTTATGTGTTTGGGTTCCGAAAGCAATGATTTTGTGTTGCTTACCATTCATGTGTCTGGGAAATTAGCTATGTTTAAGTCTGAGGATAAGAGGTGGACTATAATTCATGATATGCCTTCGCCTTATGATGATGTTATACTGTTTAAAGGACAATTTTATGCCGTTGATGGCACCGGACGTACTGTGATCGTCGGTTTGCACTCAAATCTGAGTGTGGTTGCAAATCCTGTGTTTGGTGGTGATAAGAAGTTCTTGGTTGAGTCAAGTGGTGAATTGTTGGTGGTTGATATGTATTTGAGCATGGCTCCAGAAACCGATTTGGATGTTGATGATGAAATCATCCAATTGCAATTCAATGGCTGTTTGACTGAAAGAACAGTTAGGTTCAAGGTTTTTAAGTTGGATAGAGAGGGGAAGAGATTGTTCGAAATGAAAAGCTTGGGGGATAGGGTGTTGTTTTTGGGGGATGATTGCACCTTTTCTGCCTCAGCTTCAGAGTTATCTGGTTGTAAAGGGAATTGTATATTTTTTACAGATAATTTCTTCTATACGAGTGGTGAAGATGAAGGCGTGTTCAAGGGCCGTGATATAGGTGTGTTTGACTTGGATGATGGTAGTATTGCACCTTTATCTGATTATCCAGAGTATTCAAAGCTGTTTTGGCCACCCCCTGACTGGATTGCACCAACACAAGTAAGTTTAGTCTTTTTGCATTTGGAATTTTGCTTTGTGTTCTTTCTCATTCTATGTTGTGTTTGCACTGCTCAATGCTATCAGTCTTGCCAAGTTCTGATAGGTATATTTGATAATTGTTACAAACTCATATCTGGCCCTGCCACCTTGATGCCAATTTCTGATAGGTTCTAATTTAAATCTAGTACCAATGCCACCTTGATGATCATTTTCCGTTGCCAAGACATTCGTACTTAATTAGTGCATGGTGCTGTAGGCCGTATATTGTTCTGATAAATCCCCAATTTTCTAGATATCAGTTTTGCCTTTTAGGTTACTGACTATTTTTGTCGCAATAACTTATTCAGATATTTTAAGATCTCTGGGCCTTGGCTTAAAGGCTTTGACAACATAATGTTGTACCATTGTTGGTTTAAATCCCTGATTTGAAACAATTATACTAGCAGCTGACTGATATTGAAATCTCTAAGTTTGATTGCTGGTCCTCCTGATGTTGCAGCCAAATAATTAGCAGGCTCATAGTGAATATGTTTTGATTGGATTGATTGTCGATTACAATAACTGCTACCCTAGCTGGTATTCCTGCCATTTGAATTCAGATTTTCATCGTCAGTATCCGAATCGATTTTTAATCAACATAATGAAGGAATGCAAATGCTGATTTAGTGAATGCAACAGGTGCAAAGTCAGTTCGAAGAATTGGCTTTGTGAGATGGAGATGGATTGTGGAAAATCAGTGCACAACTTTGTAATAACCCGTTAATGCATTTGAAATCCAAGACGTTTCTAGTTTAAATCTTTTATATAGTAGAGTGCAAGGCGAAAGCACAGTTCACACCCTGCGGCTTTGGCATCAACAAGTTCAGGTGACCTAGCCAACCTTTGCAAGCAAATCAAGTGGATCAAAGTTGCCATAGACATGAGGCTCTTTATGAGCCAAGGATATTTTACTACTTTCTGTAAGCACCTAAACCTGGGAGGGGAGTTGTTAAGAGGCAGCCAATTCCTTGTTAACTGAAAAATAAATAATAAAAAAATGACAGTAACACTTTTTTTAATTTCTTAAATTATGAAATATTGTATGTACCACGTACTTTATTTGCTTGTAAATTACTGAATTATCAGTGTTTTTGGAAACACATCTATCTTGTTCTTTTGCTTTTCTTAAATTACTTAACTTGAACACTTCAGCTTCTTTTTATTCTTGTTTTTTACTGATTACTATGGAGTATTATGATAGTTTTGGCCAGTAGAAACCTGGAGATGAGAAATGGACCATATTTTCAAGGCCCTTATTCATATCTTGACATGATTATCTTTGATGCGAAGTTACTAATCAGTCCAGAACAATTGCTTGAACACTAGCTGCTTGTTAACCTGGTAGCAGAGACCCAATCAAAAGTTGTGTCTACGGTACGGTAGCTAAATGGTAAAACGGGAAATTTAGAACCAGCATGAAATTAAATAGTCTTTTTACTCTTCATCTACTACCTGATCAAAACTATGGACCAACCTATTTCTATTGCTAATAAAGACTATACAATATTAGATATCGACAGCACCAAGGATCCAAGGCTCTGCAACTTCTGTTGTTATATGGACCTACTTCAACTTAAAACTGAGCTAACATTTTTAAGTCAATCCCGCTCCGGAGCATCCCCGGTTGTTCTTCTAGAGCTTAGGCTTCCAGCATATGACCACACCCTCTCAAAATCAGCTGCCAGTAATTTCTCTGTCTTCTCGTCTAGTACCTCTTTTCGAATGCTGCGCTTTACGCACAGGGGTGTCCTTCCTGGACTACCAACAACTGGAGTGGAGGAACAGAAAGTCGGAGTTGCTAGTGGAGAGCCATAAGGAGTGTGTTGAATGGAGAAGGGGCTGGGCGACATCCTCTTCTGGATAGGAAGGCCACCCAAACCTCCCCTGTTGAAAATAGACATTGATTCTGCTGCAGCACATCGCTTAGTAGCATCATCAACGAAGAGGACATCATCTATCCTTGCCATTATGTTAAAGGCCAGACTCTCCATAACCCTCGAGTAGCTTTCCAGAATTGACTGCCCCACGTCCTGCAAAATTAACAAAAAAAATTCCTTCAGAATTATCTTTGGAAGATTTGTTGTTCTAAATATCCTATTACAGAAGATAACGCAGTAACCACAGGGTGCATCTGTCCTTAGGACAGTCTCAGGCATAAAATGATAGGATCAAATAACTCGTAATGTGCCACGATGAATTCAAACAGTCTCCAAGTTTACAAAACCAAGGAACTCAACAAATTTGATAAACCAGTGTATTCAAAGTAATAATAAAATAAATTAATCTTAAGCAGTATGACATATTTCACAAATCCCAAGTTCAGGTGACCGTATTCTAACATACATGCACAGTGATTAATCTTAGATACCATACAGTGAAATGTACCTTATTGTATTGTATTTTGTTCATATCTAGTGCAGTTTGTGGGAGGCCCGGGAAACGATGCCTTAGGCTGTGTAAGAGGGTCTCTGCTCGTTGGGCCAGAAAATGATTTTTTTCAGTATCAGAAACAAGTCCCTTGACCTTGCCACCCCAAGATGCACGTTTAGCTTTCTGATGATTATTGTGTTTTTTCTGGTCTTTCTGCTTCCAAACATGCACAGCTTCCTCAATCTTATTGGCTATTTCTAGAGTTTGATGTTCTGATGACAAGTCCAGGCAATCAAGAAGATGCTCGGGTGAAAACTGGTCTGCAGTTATGTAACGATAAATGATATCACCCAGGCAAGCTTTCCCACTCTGTCATGAAATGGAGAACAAATGGTGTCATAAGAAATTTAAAATCAACTAAATGAAAATTGCATGTTGAACAATAATTCCTGAATATTTATTGATATTTAGCATCTATTTATGCTCTCATTACGAAAAAAATAAATAAAATGAATGGCACTGAAATATAAACTCACATTTGTATCACCTCTTAATTAGGAAAGGATATTAACACTCGCACAACATGATATTACTCTTAAATATAAGAGGGAATTTAAAAAATTAATGTTGATAGTCGTAATCTAGTTATCATATGTGTCAAATCATGAAAAGAGATGCAGAAACCCAAACCTTGGCCAATGACTCCATGTAAGCTCTCGGGATTTCCATCTCAGCAAGCACACTACTATTAATTGCCATGGCAGCCTTCAATATCTGGTTGCAGCAGTCCCTACACTGCTGCAACTTCTTTCGTGCTTCAATGGACAACCCATTTGGCGGAACTTTTGGATAGGGTAGCCACCACTTCTCTTCCTGCCTAATTGAAGGCCTTCCACCGGGCATAAACCCCTTTCCATCATTGGAATCGTCCACAATTATCCCCCGGTCAACATAGCAAAACTCCGTCTCACAAAACCCATCAAGCATACTAAGCAGCATTGCGTCAAGCTTCTTTATGGCAGGTAGATTCACATACAAGTCAGAGCGTGGTCGCATTTCCATGACTTCGTATGTACCCCCACCTGGGAACTGTTGTATCGAAGGCACAAGCTCAACAATTGAATCACTCACACATAAGAGCCACTCCATCTCTCGTCGCCACATTGTCTTTCTCTGTGGTGCCAGTGGCTCTAACCTCCATAACTCACCAAAAACAGTTGCTGCCATTCCAACCCAGTAATTGAGTTCAGAAAACCGAAATTCCACATATAAAAATGAAAAGTCTCTGCCAAAATCACACAAGGGTGTGCATATTCCAAGAGGATGTGACTAACCAGAAAGATTGGTGATGGCATTTGAGATAGCAAGGGCAGTGCAGACTCCTTTCCCTCCTCCAGACATATCTTCTCCAAGCAGAAGCTTAGCGAATCTCTCCTTCATCATTTCGACCTCTGCAACCATAAATTTTAAAAATAATAATAATAATAAATTTATATAAAAACAAAAACAAAAACAAAATAAATGGTCTTAAAATAGGACAGAGTCAGATCTCTACTAATAAGAAATAGGATAAGGATCAATTTGCTTCAGAATTGCCTCTTAGGTTTGGGAATTAAACTGGACAAGTACTTTTGAGCACTACAGTTTTCTTAAGAATTTCTGTTTAGGCCTTAAATTCACTATCTACTCCTTTGTCCGCACTTTTCTCGGAAGCCAAACACTGAGCAAGAATCTCCTCAGAACCAAATTTAGAAACAAAATTAAAAACAAAAGGAAATAAAGTAAAAACAAAATCCAATACCAGACAAATCAGCGTCTCGTTTCTCCGGCTTCTCATCCCAAGCCACCACATCCTTTCCTCCGATCACCGGAAGCATAACCGGCGCCTGAAAACAAAAATTTCCGGGCACCTGACGCGGAGATGACGTCATCGAGCTCGAAGCCCCTTCCGCATCGAACCTCCGGCACGAGAAGCTGCTGCAACTCTCGGACTCGCTCACATCGGCGCTCAGACTATAACTCCCACACCGCTCCTCGCTCTGCTGGTCCGAGCCGTCCTCCGACGACGCACTCCCCATTGTCGTCCAAAAGATCCGAATGAACGTCCGTACAGTTCAGATCTCAGGCGCACATTCGTTACCGCGAAGCCTACCGCATAGGATAAAAGGAGACGAAGCACACTCTCGCGTGGTCTGAAGAATGTTGCAGAGAAGAGAATTTAGTGGTGGTGGTGATGGATAAAGCGATTTCAGGTTTGCTCACAACACACTCTTTCACTCTTTCTCTCCACTCACTTTCTCTCTCTAAGAAAAAGCTAATGAGACTGTCACTCTGGGACACAGTGGGGTTGATGATGATGAAGAGAAGGCACCAAAAGCAAAAGTGACGCCGTTTGTTCTGCAGAGCTGAGCACCCGACACGCTCCTTTTCCAGCGGGCCCCACCTATGCCCTCTAATAAGAAGAAGATTACTATGCCATCGTGACGGGGCAGTGTTTGCTGACGTGTACGGATACGTTGTGGGGCCCTGTCTGGGAGATGGAGGGAATTCAGAAGTTTTGCGTGGGAAAGATACCTAACGGCGGTTTAGAGGTTAGCGAAGTGTTTTTGTTTTTTCGCTCGGAGAGAAAGTTAGGATGCGCGCGTCCTCGGTTTAAATTCCGTGCGCTCGCATCCCCAAGCTGGCGTTTAATATTCTCGTTCATAACGACATCGTTTTCAGCGTAGATCTCTTTAACGATTACTCTTGGGTAATTACGTTGATTAACAATTTATTTCAGCGCAATTAAATATTTTTTAATGCAAATTAAAGAGAGTGAATTCTGAAACGACCCGCCCTTTGTATTTCAATGAATGAGCCAAGTGCGATATGGACCGTTAAATTGTTCTGAACGTGGGACCAAACGAAAAGTCAGTCCTGGATCCCGCAGGACCTTCACCACACCGGAGAACATCTCCATGAGCCGGGGACAGGTCTGAGTCGTCTGACATGGTGTGGACGACAAGTATTCGGTCGGAGTCCGTATAAGGTTACGTATATATACTACGTTAAATGTACGCATTAGCCCAAAACAGAGCATCTCTTGGACAGGTGTCATTTTTGGATTCTGTTTCTCGATTGGGTGTGGTTGGCGGTTTTTTTTTTGTCATCCGTATAAGTCAATTTGCTTACGCTTTTTGACTGGTGGTCATTCACTCATTATCGAATCGATCAAATCTCAACCAATCATCCGCGGGTGACATGGTGGGACCAACGTGTGTGTCGTTGATGAGAAAAGATTGGTGGGAGGAAATTACGATCGTATAGGTGGGGGACCACTGTAGAGTTTCGCTGCACGTGACCGACATGTAGCCCGCAGACAATAGGACGGCGGGTCGGGTACGTTTATTTGGATGAGCCCAGTTTGCGTGATGGACGGTTTATAATCAGGACCGTGTATAGAAGGATCTGTGGGACCAATGTATGTTGAATTTTCTGAGCTACTATTTGGAACTTTTTTAGTGGATAATTAATTTGGTTTTATTTATATTATTTGTTGGTCAGGAATATTAATTAGTTTGTGAGATTAGAGATTTGGTCCAATTGGAGTTAATGATAGTCGTGCTTAAGATGCGATTAAAATACTAACAATCCCAATGACACTTGCAGATTAATAATAGTCTCAGTTGTTGATTCAAATGCATGAAGATGCAAGTAAATGAATGCTTAAATTTCTGTGATTATTGATTTGCTTGGCCTTTTGTGTAAATCTATAATTTTATTTTTTTATTTGTTGAACCAAGTGGGGTAATTATAACTCTAGTGCTTAAGAGCATTTAATTTGACTACGAGAAACAACGACCAAAAAAAAAAAGAGACTTGAAATTTTAAGTTCAAATTCTCCATTTTAATGTACTATTGTTGTTTGATCATCCAAAAAAAAACATTTAATTAGTTATTTTTTGTTCATGGGTCAATCGGAATTTAAAACATTGGGTCAACTCCACTCTCGTCTATATTATGAGTTGAATTTAAACCTTTGATAACGCTTTAGGCTTTAGGGTCGCTATAGGCATATTAACACACACACACATATAATATATATATATATATATATATATCACACAAATTTGTCTGCTAAGAGATGGGAATGAGTTAAAATTGGATTACATTGGAGGGTTGTTGGATTAATTGAAATGTGCTACTACGTGGCGCTAGTATGATTGGACATAATTCAATCCGTGTTATTTTTAGGTCACCAAACATTTCACTATAATTATGAATCTGATTCCTACTTAACTACATAATCAAACTCACGAAACATGCCCTAGTAGACATTCATTATATACCACAATGGGCAAATTGCAGCAATGATCCCAAAACTTTAATTGTTGCTACATTTACCTCATTGGATTGAAGAACAATCATTTTTATTACTATTTTGTTGGGCCTTGTATTTAGTAAGAGCATATCTTAACTTTGTTAGGGTCACGTTAAAAAGTGATTACATACCTTACATGTGAACATTTAACTAAAGGCATTTCAGTCTCTCCAAGTCACTAAACAAATAAAAGGAAAAATAAAAACAAAAACAAAAAGGTTCAATATGCTCACAATTTATCTGATTCCCATCAGATTTTACCTTCATTATCATTCGTATATGACACCCTCACCATACAACAGACTCCCCTAATACATCCTTGACACCAATGCTATATGTCACATTACTTTTGCGGTTCGTGGTCCAAATGAAATAATTTGGAGTCTTCTTGGACCAAAACCGTGGGGAATTGGATTGAGTTATACATTTTATTTGAGCAATCTGAACAGGCCCAAACAAGGCCCACTTATATTGTTAACCGTAACCGCCTTTTGTTATTGTCCTTCGTCTGTGAACGAACGCACCCAGTCCCAGTTAACGTATTTCATCCTCATCGAGCGCAGGTCGAGAATATCAATCATCGTCGTCCTCGTCGTCGCAGCCGTAGACGATCAATACCCTAAAGCGTAAGGACAAGATGCCGAAGAAGATGGGTACGAACAGCAAGGCGGAGGAGGCTAGGGCTCGGAAGAGCTCGACCGAAGCCGAGCGCAAGGAGCGCGAGGCGCGCGAGAAGGAGGAGCAGTACTGGCGCGAAGCCGAGGGCAGCAAGTCTCGCGCGGCCAAGAAGCGCGAGGAAGAAGCCGAGAAGCGAGCTGAGGCCGCTGCTCGCAAAGCTGAGGCGCGCCGATTGGCGGAGCTGGAGGAGAAGGAGCTCGAGAAGGCGGTAAAGAAGCCCGATAAGAAGGTCGGCCGAGTCGGGATCCCGGTTCCGAAGGTCACCGAGGCGGAGCTGAGGAAGCAGAAGGAGGCGGAGCAGGCGGCGTTGTCGAAAAAGTCGAATGAGGTGAAGAAGAAGCAGAGCCGTACGGCCGAGGAGGAGGAGTATGAGAGGATGGTGGCGGTGGAGAATAGGAATCGGGACGATTCGATCATCGAGGCGAGGTCGGTGGAGGAGGCGGTTGCCAAGATGACGGTGGCAGAGAGCTTGCCGGTGGATCGGCATCCGGAGAGGAGGCTCAAGGCGTCATTTAAGGTGCGTTTTATGTGGTTATTGGGAGAATTTAGGGTTTTATGGTATTGTGAATTGGATTGCATTGGTTTTGATTTTGTTTGGGATAGCTTTGAAATCTAAAGTCTAATTCACTTGGATAGAATTGTTTTTGCTTTTGTTGAATAATTGAGCATTAGGAATTATGAGTATGAGGGTTGGAGCACTAGACATGATTGAAGTAGCTGAATTCTGAAACACAGCTTTATGTGTTATTTGCGGTGATATCATGATCTCACATGGCCATGAATCATGATCAGCTTCTCGAAAGCAGTAATTTGGTGTGTGGGTGTACGTTAGTGTTGTTTACTTGTTTGTGTTGGCACTGACATCTTTGCAATGTGAATTGGTAATTGAACACCTGTTTCAGACATATCGGTTGCCTGTTGAATTTTGAGCAAATTTAGCCATAGCTTTATTTCCATTTCATCATGGAGTTCAAACATAGCTTAAAGCTATGAACTATAACTTTTATAGTCATTTATTTATTCCCTTGATCTCAGTAACAAACATATGTTCTTTGTATACACTGTATCTCTAGAAATGATGGTTGGCAGAAGTTTGTAGGTTTCATGTGAGTAGTCGATGTACAGATATATCTCATGTTTGATCCCTCTTGGGGAACTGCAATTTAAAATGTGATCTTTGTAGTTGTTGTTGCTGCCCCACTTCTGTTTTGCAGTATTGGCGTTTCCTGATGAAGTATAATGTTAACTGTTGGTGTCTTCGGATGAAGTATAATTTTGGTTGCTATTGTTAGAAGCTAACTAATATTCTTAGTGGCAGCGATTTGTTAATGGCCAGCAAACCTTTTCAATGATGTCTTTGTAAACTTCCATTGATAAGTTAGCCCTTTTTCTATCTCGAAAAAATAAGTCACCCCTTGTTAATAAACAATATTATCTCGTTGCTTGCTGCTTCGGTCTTATGGAAAATTTTGACATTAGTAATTTTGTTCTCTTTGTCTTTATAATATGACGAGATCTTGTGATAATTGTAGGCTTTTGAAGAAGCTGAGCTCCCAATTCTGAAGGAAGAGAAACCAGGTCTTACTCACAATCAATACAAGGACATGATATGGAAGCTATGGAAGAAATCTCCCGATAATCCTCTAAATCAGGTATGCCCATATTTACTTTTTTTGTTTTCTCTGGTAAACTTAATGGTTTCTTTTCTGTGATTTGAGATGATAAGTCTGCTTAAATCCTTGAATTGTTGTCCTCATGTCATATATGCTCTCACCAATATATAGAACTTTGTTCAATACCTTGAAACTTTTGTTACTTAAGACACTGTATATTGGCTTAGTGCGTCATGCGTTCAGATCGATATGTTTGCATGTTACATGTTGGAATATATAAAGCTGTTTTAAGTTGTTAATCATATGTTAGGATATCTTTTAGTGAAATGAAGCCAGCCTAATTTCTACTTTCACATTTGCAGGTTGCTGAGTGATCACAGAGCATCTTAACCATGCAAAGGCTGTTGAGTTTCTCTCCCGGGCTTGTTTTGCCGATTTCATCATGTCCAACCAACGTAGATTTGTAATTTGAAACGCATATATGGTTTATGCCCTACTGTATGTGCTATGCCCGCTCAATGAAACATGATTTAAATAACTATTCTGTGTTTTACCCCCCACCCCGGGGCGACATATTTACATAACTTTTTGTTTAGATTCAGTCTGCTGTAAATCTGGTAATAGTTGAAAGCCATTAATTTGATTACAGGTACTAGTTGGAATTGGAAGCCATTAATCTGATTTGTCAAGATATGTTTTCATCACACATATAAACCAAGTATTGTCCCATTCATTCGTGTGGAGACCAAGCCTTTAAAAAGGCTCTGCCATCTTGATCGGTTTTGGTTTTGATAGAATCTTATTTATTTCTGTTTCATCATTTGACTGTTCGCTGCCCTAACTTTCTCCCAAAACCCTCAATTCCCCCATACACAATAATGCAGAAAGAAAAAGATATATAAAGCAAGGGCAATGAAACACGAGTTATAGCCACGTCTTGAATTTGGTTCCTAGAATTCGAAATCTCGCAAATGTAATGTGATTATAACGGAGGTCAAAGTTTATTTATTTATTTATTTATGTCAAAGTTAGGAGGAGAGAGAGTTTTTTTCGCATACACTGCTGCGAATGAGGTGATCTCAACATAAGTGAATGCCCTTTTTCATAAGGCTAAAGCTAAACCCGTCGACAAGAAACACAATCTTTTTAGATGGGCCAGTGGACTCTCCTCATTTATGCAACAACAAATAAGCGAGGCCATTGAATCTTATACCGACAGACACAAGATAGATCTTGGGTACAAGCCAATTCAAGTGAGTGATAATAAAAAGGCATCTCTAACTCTTCCATTTTCTTCTCTCCAATTTGCTTGAAGAAAGCAAATCCTTGTGATGAGGAAAAAAAAAAAAAAAAAAAAAAAAAAAAAAAATGCATGATCCTGTTGATGATAGTTGCAAGTTGCAACAAGCCCCTACAAACCTTTTGGAAGTAGTTATGTTGGGACATTAATACGTGCCAAATATTGGTAAATACTTATTCCCATCAACCACTTCACGTCATGAAAATAAATCAATAGAAGAATATGTCGGAAACACAGGGAAGCTACCAGAACCAACAACTGGAAGCAATCTTCTTCTTAAGTTCAGAAATGAACTGGTGCCTCAGCACCAGGTACCATGGTTAGATAAGTCAGAAGATTGACCCCTCAAATGTTATCCTTCAGGTCCTCCAAGGCAGTGAAGAAGAAGAAGAGGACAATTATTGTTGGTCTAAATTCAGATAGCTCCAGCAGAGAGATGCTACTTAGATTGCTCATTTCTGTTGTTAAAGCAGGGGACAGTGTAACAGCTGTTCATGTTCAAGAAGCAGATGCTGATGCTTTTGATCCAAACTCTTTCCACACCCATGAAGATCTCTGCAAGTCCAAGAAGGTATTGAATTTTTTCTTTTCTTTTTTCGTGAAATTGTAAATTGGATAAGACATTGAGGAAAACTGGGCTTATGGCTGTTTTTTTTCTTCAATGCAGGTGGATTTCCATGTAAAAGTCTGCATTACAGATTCATATGTTTCTGAGTTACCCTATCAAGTGAGGATCAGCTATGCCACAATCCTTGTACTTGGTTGCAGCCTTTCAGGGTAACGAAACTATAAAACCAATCTCTCTCTCTCTCTCTCTCTCTCTCTCTCTCTCTCTCTCTCTCTCTCTCTCTCTCTCTCTCATGTATGGTTAATTTGGTTAAGTACAATGCAGGCCAAGCCTTTCAGCTATCAATACTTGCTTGAAAGGGTTACCTCCCTCATGCACTCTTCTGGTAATGGATACTGTTGGAAGAATACTTTTGGAAGGGCAGGGGACTTCCCAACAAGGCTCTGTGAGGGCAGCAGCCCTGCAATCTTCTCAGTCATTTTCTTCAACCTACACTTGTTCTGATAAAAAATCAAATATCACTCCCCAGTTGCAAAAGTCATTAACCGTACCAGCTTCCTCTACAGGGTCATCAATGCGACCAACTACTAGACGAGCACTATCTGCTGTAAATAAAATGGTGGAGGTTTCTGACTCGGTGGCTGAGAAACTGTTTCATAAATTGGCACTGTTAGAAGCAGAAGGGTCCATCAGGAATTTCGCACCGCAAGAGCTTCGTTATGCAACTAACAATTTCAACTCTGCCATGGTGATTGGAGAGGGTGGACATAGTAAGGTGTACCGTGCCAAACTTGGAGATGGTCAAGATGCTGCTGTGAAAGTCCTCAAATCCTCACACTATTCTGCTGTGGATTTTTTTCGAGAAGTAGACTTGTTTTCAAGTATGAAACATGAGAGCATTGTTCAGATAATCGGGTTCTGCAATAACAAGGAGGTGCAAGCAATTGTATATAATCTTTTAAAGGGAAGTTTGAGGCAGAATTTGAGACAACTTAGGTGGAGTGAGAGGATGAAAGTTGCAATTGGAGTGGCAAAGGCACTGGACTACCTTCATCATTCTCACAACCCTCCTATCATTCATAGGGATGTGAAGTCATCCAACATTCTCCTCTCCCACAATTGCGAACCGATTGTAAGTTCAATACTAATTTCTTATATTTGTGAAGCTAACCAGCATAAACTAGGTTCAGGGTAACCAGAGCTTTAACCAAATCCAGATTTAATTGTACTTTTTATAGATCATACTTGTGTTTTGATGATTGCCTCTCATGTTAAACTTTAGGTAAATAGCTCTATATTTTGTCTCTGATTATGTTGACTACTGTGAATCTACTTGCACAACAAAATGAAGTTTCCACACTTCTAAAATACTTTTAACTTTCAATTCCCAGTTGTCGGATTTTGGAGCAGCTATGTTCCTTCAGCAAGCTTCAGCTAACACAAAGGCGCCATTTGATGTCGTTGGGACGTTTGGATACTTAGCCCCGGAGTACATGATGTATGGCAAGGTTGATGAAAAGATAGATGTGTACTCATATGGAGTGGTGCTCCTAGAACTCATCACTGGGAAAGAGGCTATTCAAACTGACCAGGAGATTCGTGAAAGCTTAGTGCTATGGGTAATGGAAGAAACCAACAAGCTTTAAAACCAATTCTGAAAAATAGTCTCTTCCTCTGAAGCTGCGTGTCTTTGCTCATTGACTTGCAGGCAAGGTCCTTGATGTGCAGTGGCATATGGGAACGTCTAATTGATCCTAACTTGGTTGAAGACTATAACAAGGAAGAGATGGAAATGATGATGATCGCAGCGCGCCTCTGCCTTATGCATTCATCTTCTCGAAGGCCAACCATGAAGATGGTACTCCTTGTTTTCTTCTTTTCTTCATACTGAAAAAAAGAAAAAAGAAATCTAATAACTTCTGTATCAAGTTATCAACATGGCGACAAACTGCAAATGTTTGCTTGGCAGGCCACTTTGAGATTAGGTTAACATTTAGTTAGTTCTAACTAAGATGGCTTTCATTATTGTTTCTGTTTGAGCAGATACTTAGGTTCTTTGAGAAGCCAGAGCACTGGTTAAGGATGCAAAGGGAAAGAGATGATTTTCTGAATGGAATTGATTTACAAGGTGAAACAGCCCAGCCTTGACAATCGATCACATTGATTTCACCGTGCAGTAAACAGGCCGAGTTGATCACTATCAGCTACCAAATAATCCCAGTATATATAAATAAATATTGAAAATTTATTATTTAAATGCAGGGTGTCCAACAACAAAATTGGTTGCAAATGAATTTTCCTGTTGGTTACCTAATATTTGAAACAATAACTTGGATGTGTATCCGAAGGATTTTCACAAGCTTCTACAAAATAAAAGATTTACATTATTACTTCAGCTTTTCTAAATTCTGGAAGCCATTTTCTAAAGCTCTGATTCAAAATGCCTAGTTACACAGCAGGAAGAAGCTGAAAAGTCCATGCAGCATGCCTATCTCTGTGGAATTGGGTTTTTGCAGATATTCATAATGAGCTATTTATTACAGATTGAATCTTTCAGAAGCAGAAAATCAAGATATGCTTACATAACTTGTCAATTCAGTTTCAATTATTATTTTTTTCTTTCTATCACAACCCATAACAGAACAAAAGTTTAAAAGTTGGCAAAAATAGTTTGCTTCTGGGGATAAATTGATCATGTCAAAATGGCTACTCTTTAAGCCTTGGCCAACTGAGCAAAATTAATCGGGTATACGAATTGTGGTCCACCATTGTAGAGGGTTACGGCTGCTAACTTAGAAGCAGCCTGTGTTGGATGAAATAGATCCCAGAACAAGTAATTGTTGCGATTTGGGCAAAGTTTGGCTTTTGGACTACAGAAGGATTCAGCATTGAGCTTCCCAGCTCCGCAACACGCAGCTTCCACTTGAGTAAAATCTGAAAAATCAAAAGGAAATTAAAATATAATTAGATTGTGCTTTTTTCTTCACCATTTTTGTCAAGCACATGCATGATTCCTTTAAGAAGTGCATTATGGCTTGTGATTGAGAATTGACTTACTGAATGCAAGAGGGAACTGAATGACATTTATTGTCATCTCAAATGCATTTCCAAGTGAGTACTTGATGCTCTTGTGTTCTGAGCTGAGCTTGAACAAGAGGGCATCCAACCTTGCATGAAAAGCGATTGCGAGATCGTTCAAATCCTCCAAACACCCCCCAGTAGTATTGTAAATCCTCTGAGATGGACAGCATCCAATCGGGGCAACACTGATAATGCCAAACTTTCTCGCTCCAAGATCGATCAAACTCTGCCATTTTAGTACAGGGCTCAGCTAAGCTATGAAAACTTGTACATTTGGTGGATAAAATTAAGTTGAATCTTGTTGAACATAGAGAAAAGTCACCTTCAAGTGCTTCTCATAAGCGAGTTCTAAAGATGATAGGAAAGCTTCCTTGGAGAAGGAAGTGTTTGAATGGTAATATCCAAACAAGTCATTGCTACCAGTGCTGATGAAGAACAAAGACTTTGAGATCAACTTCTCAGTTAACCTTTGCCCTTTGATGGCAGCAAGATTGCTCTTGACAAGAGAAAGTTGCTGTATCTGCTCTGATAATGAGATAACATTTTTTCGATTGACGAATGGGGCACCAAATGGAATTCTCTCTTTTCCAAACTTCATCAAAGTCAGCTGAAACAAGAAAATGAAAAATCTGTAAAACCAAATCTCTCTCTCTCTCTCTCTCTCTCTCTCTCTCTCTCATGCTTATGAGATCAATTTTTCTCAAGATTACATACCATTGTTCGTCCAGTTATGTCAAGAAGGCCAGACCCTCCAGAAGCAAAGTTCACACCTCTAAAGCTCTTCTTGTGAAGAGATGTAGTGTTGAGAGAAAGAAAAGGCCGTGGACTTCTCTTAAGACCGAATTGCTTAGCTATAATCACGAGAAGCAACATGTTAAGTTAAGCTTCATGGTTCAAAGAAGTTAGGCTGAAGTTCAAGTTAGCTTTCCCAAATTTATTTTTTTCCATAACTACATTATACTTACAGAGAAAATCAGCACTGTTAAGGCCATTGCTGAACCTTCCAGTGGCTCTTGAGAAAGGAAAGTCAACGCCATTGTGGGGAAAGTCAGCCCTTGCCATGCTACCAGGCAAGAAGTTGTTGTGGCTGCTTCTAGGCAAACCTCCTGGCTGTCTCTGCACCCCTACCTCCTTTATCACTGAGCGGTCATTTAGGGGCCTTAGCTGGTGATCCGGGCTGTTTCCCTCTCGACGATGAAGCTTATCCCCCATCGTCTCACTGGCCGACCTTGACCTAGTATGAAGATTGCAGGCACACCTGCTTCTGCTAAACCAACAACAGCTATAGCCAAACAAAGAACTAGAAGACCAACCCATGATTTGTTTTCCATGAGAGATGTAATTAAAAGAAACTAATTAACTAATTAATTTTTTTTCCCAACAAATTCTATGTTGTATGTTCAAGAAAGATTCACTTTCACTTTCATTTTTCTCTTCAATTAAGATGTGATGGATATTTATACGCATGGATGCTTTAGGAACCGTCACTCACTAGAGAAAATGTGCACTTACAAACATAAGAGGTTCACTGGGCGGATTGGCATAGTTGTCATCTATGGCCGGATTAACCCTTCGCCAGCATCTTGTGTGACCATTTTTATGAGCTGGGTTTGTTAGGTATAATTATAGTGAGCTTAATGTTAAATAGATAAGAGCCAGGGTTCACACAGACTATAACCGGATTGACCCTAGACCAGAATCTTCGATTACTTGCGATAAAATATCTCTAATAGAGGTGAGACCCACATAGAGCGGCAAAAGTTGTTGCCGTCCATTGTAACATTCATTTCAGGTTTTAGACAAATTTGGTTGTTTATGGGGCGGTCACTATGTAAACACATAATACTAAGTCCACAGTTCTCTGACAGAAACAAGAAGCCTAGCTGGAGGCCTGTTTATTTGTCCTTAAGCTACACCAATTTGCAATTAAATTTCTTTCTTTTTCCTTTCTCTCTCTCTCTCTCTGATTAAACAACAATACAAGATGTTTCTTTCCCCTTGGCTTCTAACACCTGAAGCAGAACTTAATTACATCCCAAACAAGTGACTGAATGAAAGCTGCATTTTATTGCCAAAAGTATACAAATTACAATTGAAAAATTTTGGTAGCAAAGAATGGGACACTCATGTATAATATAATTGCAATGGTTAAATTAATAATTGTGTATAAATCTTCTGAATCAGGTTGTTCATTAAGGTCTGGTGCTTCTGCCTGCAGCCCTACCACAAAGAAGGGCATTTCTGGGAATTGGGTACTCATCTCTAGCAGACTCCACAGGTGAGTAGACTCGTAGGTAAAATTGTTGTCCAAGGTATTGCCTTGCCCAAAACTCAGTCCTCAAATTCCACATACCCACATTGTCCAGTGCTATGTATATAGCTGTCCATGACTTGGGATAAACCTGTAACATAATCAACCAAAACTTTAGTATAAATAGAAAAGTTATTGAATGTGCCGGTTATATATAATTTCGGTTATGTGATTGGTTTTTGTTTATACCATACTTTCGGTCTCACTTATTCCGCATGGAAATACGTAAGGGTGAAAGCGAAACCCTAATTCATCGATGAACCAATTTTTGGCATCAACAACTTCCCTTTGTAGAAATTAAAAACAGAAAGCTAGGCAACAAACCTGTGTGGTGCTTCTTGACACTGCATCTCTAAGGTTGTATTCCTTTCGGCTTGCTGGTGTCCATTTGCCTCCATCCATTCTGAAATTCAAGTATAAATGTGAGAACTTAGAACAAAATTTAGAAGATATATATGCATGACAAATTAGCAACCAAAATTCCCATTTTCAAATTAATTTTGTTAACAACAAAATGCTGAATTATATTATTGATTTACTCACCCAACAACCCAAAAAGAGTATCCATCCAAGTGCCAGCTCTGCACAATGTTCTCATGGTTCTGAAACACAATCTCCACAAAGGCTCTGAAATCAGCACCCATGACTGAAGTGTCAAGGTACATCTTTTGGCCACTAGGGTTATCCGAGATGCTTCCAACTTTAAAAACCCCACCAATCTTGAAGTAGTCTGCAAGCTTCAATGGTGTGTCTGCAGGGATAAAGGACACACTGTTCACTGCATATCTCTGTTTTCCACTAACTTGAGCTGCTGAGCTCTCTAGCTTGATTGTCCTGCTCACATTTACAAGACCATAGTGGTAGGAGCCTTGTGGGTTTGGCCTAGGTCCGCTTGCTGTTAGGTTTGTCCTGAAATGTACAAAATTCAAGACATAATTGTTAAATTGTTGCACAAAAAATCATTAGCAGAAACGAGACTCTATTGTACAGATGGAAAAAACTTTTATCGTTAATGTGGTACACAATATGGTATATAAATAGGATCAAAGTAATATTATCCTTGCAACGGAAAAAAGGGTCAATTTAATTTTCTTTACTTTTGATATAAAAAGTATTGGATTGTATTAGATTGGATAAGTGACGTACCTAATGGAGAGAGCCTGGCTAAGAGACCAGCCGGTTTGGGTTGTGGGCCCAGCTGGAATTGGGCCGGAAACTTGACGGGCCGAGTTGCTGTAGTGAAAGACGGCAGTGCTTGTGAGGACCTGGCTGGTAAAACGGGTTGAGACGGCAATGTAATAGTCCTGAGGGGCCTGATCTGCTGTGACGAGCACAGAATAAGACTGGCCCACATGGATGTCAAGTGATTCATAGGTGGTCTGGATGGTGTGGGTCCCTTCAACTTCAACCAGCTTCAATTTGTGGCCCTGGATCCTGAAGTTGAGAGAGTTCTGGAGCCCAACATTTGATATCCTGAGCCTGTAAGTTTTACCTGTAGGAAACAGACAAAAATAAGCTCCAAAATGTAAAACAGTAAAAAAAAGGACCAATGAGCCAAGCCATGGAAGAGCTTAGAGGGGTAAAACAAAAAATTACCTTGGTCAAATGTGAAATATGTTCCATTTGGTCCACGTCCATTGATTATAATGCCATCTGGGAAGGGAAGCCTGTGACCACGATCTAAAATGCCCTTCAATATCTGCAATATTGGACCAGCATTGCAGTTAGGTCAGAAATAGGTTAATTAAATTGATAACGAAAATACCAACTAGCTCTTAATCTAATACATGAAAACCTTGAATTTCCCGTCTCCGTTATTTCGAAAAAAAAGTAATAGAAATTGCATGGAGATGGGAGTTTTTTTTTTACCTTGTGGTCAGTCTTGTACCAATCTCCAATAAGAATGGAGTAATCACCAGCTGGGTCTGGGAATGGGACTGGGATTCTGGGCCTGCTGAGGATTTTAATGGCTCCAAAGCCACCAGCAGCCTTGTGAAAGGCAAGAGATGGGAAGTAGTAGAAGCTTCCAATTTGGTCCTTCACTTGGAGTGTGTAGGTGAAGTTCTTGCCTGGTGGGATGGGGCATGTGGTGCCATAAACTCCATCTTGGTATGAATTCCTCCTCTGTTGAACTCCATTCCTGTTTTTGTTTTTCCAAATTCCATTTTAGTTTCACATCAAAATTAAAGTAAGTGATTGTGTGCAACACGTATAATCTTAAACGGTATTTCAAACCGATCACACACTAACCACCGTCACAATGTTATCATGGGCCAGGCAAGGGTTAGGAAATAATTAAAACTCAATAAAAAAATTCCATCTGTGCTTGGTTGGTCTTTCGATCAAACCAAAATAAATGCGTGTGGCTATATATATGTCAATTTTGCCAGCATATAATTCGATCATAGTATATGCATGGCAAGTTGTCATTTGTTATTGTGTCAACCACATAGAAGATTTATTACGTCACCGCTGCCATATTAATCACATGTACAAAAAAGTCCATGACCTCTGAGCTGTCTGAATTTTCTGATTATTATTCTCTAAATTATATTACCATATTTTGTCACACTGAATTAAAATCTACAGATTAGATTGACAATGAAAACTAAATTACCTCATTTATTATACCTAAGTTTCGTTTTATATCATGCAATATTATTATTTACGAAATAAATCCGTGCAATTAATATATTTTAGTTCCATGCCTTGTAAAGATTGATACATTTACCAAATATTTAAAGTCTATTAAATTTTGCTAATTTAACAAATATGAAGATTTAATTAGCAGTTAAGTGTTTGGAAAACATATAGAAAAAGAGAAAGCAAATAGTTTGGAAGAAAATCGCACCATGAAATAAGGAAAGGCTCCGGCAAGCTGTTATGAACATTGATAATGAGGTTGTCATTGGTCACGGAGTAGATTTCTGGCCCCGGAAACTGGCCATTGATGAGAATTCCCTGCAGCAAAAGCAAAATTTTAAAATTTACATTCAAGTTATTAAAAGCAGTTATTCATGCACCCGAAGTCTTATGTTGAACTCTCCTCTCCTAATATCGCTTGTATAGAAGAAAAAATTGTAAATACAAACCTGTTGACGAACACCGAGTGGATATATGTCCCCGTAGGTTATGTTCCAGTCGAAAAACCTGTAAGGATCCTCGGCAGTTGCAAAACCCAGAACCAGAAGAAAGGCTGCTAGAAATTTAAGCAGCATATTTTTTTGGGAGAGCTTTAGAAAGTAGAGATGTATCAGAGAAAAATTCAGGTGCAGATGATCAAACAGAGAAGAAGAAGAAGAAGAAGAAGAAGTAGTAGTAGTTTTCTCTACTGGAATTACAAAGAGGTTACAGAAAGAGACACTTAAATAGGTTTGAGGTAACTGACCCGGACTTATTAGTCTTGATATTTATACTGCAAAATTGCAAAAAAAAGAAAGAAAAAAACCAAAACGAGTGGGGATATATATTTGTCCTCTCTGTATTGGGCTGTGCATAGTGGAAAGTCATAGTCTCATAGCGGTGGAGTGTCCACGTGGCGCACGCCCAATAAAAGATGTGCGACTTTGGTATTTGTTTAATGACTACAATGCCCTTGCCCTGACCGCGTAAGCTTCTTTTGCTAACTCATGCATGGCTGGATGATAGTGGGGGAGAGCCCGTGATTTCTGACGCTACACACGGTATTTTCATGTGCCCAATTTTCTCACCTACCAAACACCCCAAAACACAAGCTATTCAGACGAAAAGGGTTGTGTTGGTGCTTGGTGGGCGCAAGGAAAAGGAAATAAATGGTATGAAAATTATGGGGGACACCAACTTGGAGATTGATTTACGCGTAAACCAATAATTGTTTATGCTTATGGGACATTCCTTATTACGCTAAGCTAAATGAAGTGTTTTCGTTTTGGCTCTTTCCTTCAAGCCTATGAAAGACAACCACCACGAAGCTTCTAATGGATTTATTTTATGGTAATGATCATACAGATTTTGTCTGGATTTTGTCTTAATAGATAGATATGAAATTGAATATGCTGGAATCTAGTAATCATTTTTAAACTATATTTTTGGGTTTATGTTGCTTTCTCATTTCCCATGAACAAGTTATGGTTTTACTCTATTGCATAAACGACAAATTCTTCGTCTAACTTGAGTATAGAGTGGAAGATTAATCAACCGTCTAGTAGCTAGTTCATTCTAAAGTATATTGTCAATGCTTTTTTTGTTTTTTTGGGTTGAGTTGACTGTAATGCTTTTTTGTTGTTGCTGAACTGGCAATTAAATTTTGAACCAGAAAAAAAGGGTCAAAAAGTAATTAATTATGAAAAGTTTAGGTACATCTAACTTGAGTATAGGGGTGAAACGATAAATCTTTCGTCTAACTTGAGTATAGGGGCGAAACGATAAATCTTTCGTCTAACTTGAGTATAGGGATGAAACGATAAATTATTTATCTAACTTGAGTATAGGGGCGAAAAATTAATCAAACCGTATAATCTGGTTCATTCTAAAATCTCTGTTAGAATAATTGAAGGTCATGAACGAGTTCTACGGGGTAGAACAATATGGGAGAAAAAAAACATAATTATCAATACTTTTTGTTGTTGCTGAACTGGCAAGTAATTAAATTATGAAGAGTCTACGTACATAAAATATTAATGCATGGAAAGTCAAGTCATTAAATTAATGCATGGAGATAATTAGGGACAGGAACTTTTTGTTCCACCTAGAAACCTCTCTCATCTCATCGCATGTGAGTTTGATAAAACAGCAATATTATGGTTTTTATTTTTCTTTGTTTTTGTTTTTTAAATGCAACCATAAATCACGATTTCGACATAATTGTATTGTAAAATAAATATTGAAGCGTATTCCGCTATGGGATTCAGACTCACAAGCGTGTGATTTTGTGGCATCCACACATGCAACATTGTTTTGTTACAATTAAATTGGGATCATTTGCAATTTGCAAGAAATTGACATCGAAGAAAATGAGCTCTAATTTCTGTTTTCCATAACTTTTGCCGTGATTATGGGCATAATGTCGTCTCCAATTAACGAAGCTAGAAGTACACACAACTCCCTCTTTATCCTAATCTATTTCATAACAAATTGTGTCCCCTTTAGAAGAAATTCTTGTAATTAGCAACTCGAACCACGTGGTTATGCGACGACTCGCACACAAACCGCAAACACTTGTACTTTGATCCCACTTAGTCCCCACCCGTACGATCACCTTTGTTAATCTACTATTTTATACGACAGCCGCACACGAGAATTGCTGCCTGGTTACGGTTAGGCTTCCCCATTTCCTCATACCAGGCTTCTAGATTGCACCTGGTTACAAATGGGCCAAATAGGCGTCAAGAAAATAATGCAAAGCCCAAATGAAGAAACCCAATATGCATTTGGTCCGAAGTTTCTTCATCATTTTTTGGTCTGAACTCGAATTTTGTTGTGTCGCCCATTATGCATTTGCGGCCAGAATTTTACTATACAAGAAAACCAGAGAGAGAGAAAAAAATTAAGTGTAGAAAACTGGAGCCCAAGAAAAAAGCTGAAAATACCAACAATGTCCCCACTCTCACTCCCAAACAAACCAGTAAACAAACGAGAAATGGATTGGATGGGATTTCTTATCCGTAACCCATCTCTCTCCTACACTCTCTGCTCTCCAGAACACTCGTCAGAGCCCGCCAATGGAAGCTCAGCCACTTCTCTAACCAAACACCAAACTCCATGGACGCTCTCTTCGTCAACCAGTGCTCCATCTCCGGCCTGAAACTCGCCCCAAAGCTCACAACCACCCCTTTCCCTTCCCAATCTCTTCACCGCCTCAAACCCACCTCCAAGCCCAACCTCACATCCGCCTCCGTTATCCAGAACCAGCAAAGCCAATCCCTTGAAACCCAGAAACCATTTCCGTTCTCAGACGACAATGAAGACAAACCAGACGACGAGTCGTACGGCGAGGTCGACAGGATCATCGGAAGCAGAGCGCTGGAGGGCGGCAAGGGGATGGAGTATTTGATTTCGTGGAAAGACGGTCATGCCCCTTCGTGGGTCCCATCGGATTTCATAGCCAAAGACGTGGTGGCGGAGTACGAGAGCCCATGGTGGACCGCCGCCAAGAAAGCCGACGAGTCGGCACTGAGCCAGCTCATAGCCGCGGAGGACGACTGGCGCGACGTCGACGCCGTGGACGGAGACGGCCGCACCGCTCTCATATTCGTCTCGGGTCTCGGGTCGGAGCAGTGCGTTCGGGTCTTGGCAGAAGCCGGAGCCGACTTGAACCACCGCGATAACGGCGGGGGACTAACCGCGTTGCATATGGCGGCAGGGTACGTCCGGCCAGGTGTCGTGAAGTTATTGGTGGAGCTAGGTGCGGATCCCGAGGTGGAGGATGACAGGGGACGGAAGCCGTTGGATTTGGCTAAGGAGGTACTTAAAACGACGCCGCAGGGGAACCCGATGCATTTCGCGAGGAGGTTGGGGCTGGAGAGTGTAATTAGAGAGCTTGAGGGGACAATATTCGAGTACGCGGAGGTGCAGGAGTTGCTGGAGAAGAGAGGGAAGGGGGATCGCTTGGAGTATTTGGTCAAATGGAAGGACGGTGGAGATAACGAGTGGGTCAACGCGAAGTTGATAGATGAGGATCTGGTGCGGGACTTCGAGGCTGGGCTCGAGTACGCCGTGGCGGAGGGTGTGGTGGGGAAGAGAGTTGGGGATGAAGGGACGATGGAGTACTTGGTGAAATGGACGGATATAGATGAGGCCACGTGGGAGCCGGAGGAGAATGTTGATCCTGATTTGATTAAGGAGTTCGAGGAGGCCCAGAATGTGAGTGGGCCGGGGAGTGTGGAGGAGGCCCAATTGAGAAAGTAGAAAAAGAATTGGGTTTTGTATGTTCTTGTGTATTGATTTGAAATGCTCATATGGCATAATTTGTTGATCAATATAACATGAAGGAAAATTCACATGTCTTAGAATCATATACAGAGATATTATATAAAAACTCGTATAGAGTCTATTTGGAGAGAAAAAAATTCAAAAGCTAGTCATTTGTCATTTTCTAATTGGTTCTCAGTGTGTTAAGATGATTTCTCAATGGCTTGCATAAGGGCAGGTGCAATTTCATCTCCTCTCTCTAGTCTGTTGTCTACGTAGGTCTCAATTTTCTTCCAAAGTAAGGCAACAGGATGAAGATGAGATTTCTTCATCTCCGGTTCTGTCTCCCTCTACAACTTCTTCAAAGACATTATTAGACCACCTGAGGGGAATGTTGGAAATGTCTTCCATACAGATACATATGAAAATACCTGCAGGATGACTCAAAATGCCTAGAGGAGGGTGAATACGCCAATTTAAGATTCTAATCAAATAAATAAAAATAAACTTTGGTAGCAGGATTGATATGGCTTATCAATCCTGTAACGTGCTGGGCATAAAATAAAAGAACACGCAGAGAATTATTTTACGTGGTAAAACCCCACCTCTGGGGAAAATCCACGGGACTCCTCAGTCCAACACAAATCCACTATAGAACGATGATTACAAGAAGTACTCACACACTTATCCTAGACACATTCTAGATAATGTTTACCGACTTCTTCATAACTCAACTTCTGTCACGGGATGATCTTCGACACTCCTTATGTTGAACGCAATACTGGCCACGATTGCTTCAAGCTCACCGGAGGAAAAACCGCCACCACGGTCTTGGTGCCCTCAACCGTATGAGTCACCGACATGCATATGAATGCAATATGAATGATTAAAGTGTTTGATAAATCACCAAGTAAACATTGAACACTTGATGATTTATCTCAAATATACGCACAACAGCTTTTCTTAGAATTCTATATGCTCAGAACAAATATCTCAAAAGCTGTACAAATAAAAGAATGGCACATGATCTTTTATACAAGACTTGTTCTCTCTCATGGGAGAGAAACCCAATAAGCCACGAATATTAAACTTCCTATTGCACCACAACCTATCATCAATAAGAGATTTGATTCACCTTGGACTCAAAGTAATGACGCCTCTCTTTAAACCAAATTAACTAAGAGGTAAGCAACGTGCAAAGTCACAATAGGAAAAGATAATATTTTAACTTCAATTAAAATAGAGTTGAACTAGGAAAGTAATCTCAAGAGATTAAATCTAATCTTATTAAAAATAAGATTAAGATAAAAATACTTTGAGTGAAAATAACTCAAACTAGGAATCCTATAATGAATGCATGATTATGTCATGATTTACCTTAAATCAGATTCCTCATATCGGTCAAGTCATGCTTTGGAAACCTGAGATTGAATGTGTTGCGCCAAAACGTCTAGTAAACGATATTCACACACTAACTCCCAACCTATGCTAGAGTCTAGGAAATGACAATACAAATTTCATACTAACAATCTCCCCCTTTGGCATTTCCTAGACAAAACACCTATTACAACTCAAAAGAAATTACATGGGATTTAACAAATGAATTCTTATTCTAAGCTTGAAGCCCTGAATCCCTGCACATTATGAAACAACAAAACCAGTGAAGCATGTGGGAGAAGAAATGTAATTCAAAGCAGAATTACAACACAACTCCCCCTTAATTCCATAACACAATCTCTCCCCCTTAATTCCACAACACAATCTCTCCCCCTTTTTGTCAGGAAATCCAAAGAGCAAAGAATGAACATAAGGGAGCATATATAAGAGGGAATAAAAAATAAAAAAATCAGATTGCATTCCCAACATATAAAGACATAGAGAATAACCAATAAAGCATGTAAGAGGCTTTATCTTGAAAACAAACAGAATTCATTTTTTTTTTTTTTTTTTTTTGGATAAGCGACAGGAAAATAGAGAACTAAAAAGAATAATAAGAAGTTGTTAAGAACCAAAACATACAAAAACAAAAGCAATACACTCAAGACAGAAAGCTCAAAACAATCAAGACATAAAACATATTGTAGATGCAGACCCAAAGTTCTCTTGAAAATATAATTATTTTCCATTCATAAACATGCCAAGTTTGTGAGTAAAGAATGAAAGAAGCAACAAACCCTTTGCTGTCTTGAACGCATGTGAAGCAAAGCATGTCAGGGACAAACACACGACAACACACGAGACTCACAAACTCACAGAGAACAGTAGAGGCATACCACAGTCATGGTGAAAGATAAAAAGGCATCAAATGAGTCTACCATCAAGGAGCAAATGTGTTAAATGAACTCTTTTTCAATTAAGCACAAAAAATATGTCCACACAAGACGAATCCCACCAAAGATTGCACAAACACTAAGTGCATAGTAAGTATAAGAAGATCAATTTATATATATATTTTTTAATACGAATTTTGTGGCTCACTTTATCTAGCTTTCGACATGATCCATGTAACGGATGGTCAATCAGTGTGCTTACGTCAGATGACTGGAGGCAACTGGGTGATGAAGCACCCCTGGGGAAATACTGATCCGAATCATGAAGGCTCCAAAGATAAGCAAGGATAGCAAACCATCACAACCTGTTGACTCGAACCTCGACGTTGGTTAGACAAGAGGCCCGGTTACTGAGCAATGAGTGGTTGACACCCTTTTTTTTTTTTTTATTTATTTTTATTTTTTTTATTTTTATAAACATATCAAGAACTTACGCACAGTAGTGTTATGGCAATCCAAAGAGAGACAAGTGCATGATAAGAGATATTCAAAGGACTTCAAGGAAAAGAGTGTGGTGTGCAAAATAAAAATAAATAGATGGATAGATCATTTAATGAAGTTTATAATGCACCAAGACAATGGAAACCTTTGTGTGAAGCTGAGAGTGTAAGTTCTTAATATATTGCAATGTCAGAGCCCAATCTAAGATCAACAAATACGTTCAGACAGTTACAGGATTGATACACCTTAACAATCCTTGCACGAGCTGGACAGATTTATAAACACAGAAATTAATTGAAATATCATAAAACATGAAAGAGGCTTTGGCATGCAATAGACTCCAAATTAATCTAGAGCACATATACCTAAAGACTTTCTAAGAGTGTCAAATCGAAGATTATCCAAGGGTTTTGCAGCAATACATTTAAGATCCAAACTTTCTAAAGCAACGGGTTCATGCACAACATTAGTGGAGGAAGACATACAATTATGATTTTCCTTTTCCCTCCAAACTAACTTTGTCTTAGTTGACGGCAAACAATGAAAAGAAGATAGTTTGGATAAGCGGTTTACCTCTTTCATAAGATTTGAAATCTTATGTTGGATACTTACTTTTCCACCCATGCCATGAGAATTTGAACGAACAAATTCGTTTCGAAGCTTATTGCATCTCGGTCTTATGTGCCCACGAGTTCCACAAAAGTGACAAATTGGAATAAATTTCTTGACTTCATGAGAGGCAGAAGGTTCAATAGGTGAAGTGGATTTGACAAACTTTGTTTTAGACACAGCGGAAGACTTATTACTTGGTTCAAATCCCAAGCCTCGTTTGTCACCATCTCTTCGTCCCATGCTAATCATCTTGTCAATTTTTTCTGCACCAATGGTTAAAGAAACAATCCTTTCTTTTGAATTTTTAAGTTCAAGTTCAAGGGCTTTGTTGTCAGAAGTTAGAGAAGCAATTAATTTATTCTGATCAGTCAATTTTTTCTGCAAAAACATCAATTTTTCGTTCATACCTGCACTTACCTTTTCGGAATCTGCATCAGGGGATTGAAACTCGTTTGCAATCCTGCAATTTTCCAGCTTCAGCACAGCAACTTCTTTGACGAGCTCACTATTTTGTTTACTGAGCTTCTGAGATGCAGCCAACAAATCATCATATTTGTTCATGATAAACTCAATATTTATACCTTTACAATCATCATCCTCACGTGATTCATCCAAGCTAACTGTGGTTATAAGTGCAACCGTCTTTTCATCATTCTCGCATTCCGATTCACTATCACTCCAAGTAGTATGCATTGCCTTATTATTGCCATCCTTTTGTTTCTTTAAGGTGTTGGCACATTCCGAAGATATGTGTCCATAGCCTTCACATTCGAAACATTTGACCTTTTCTCTTGGATTCTTTTGTTCATTTAACCTGCGAAATTTAGATCCACCATCAGTATAGTTAACAAACCTATTTTTAGAATTTATACCTTTTGAATCTCGACTCCTTGGATCCTGATTCTTGAGAAAGTTCATGAATCGTCTTGTGAGAATCGTTAATTCCTCATCACTGCAATCTTCATTTGAATGCCCATCATCTTCTTCATTCACAACCTTGAACGCAACATTTTTGCTCTTTTTAGGAGGTAGATGTTTCATCTCATAGGTTTGTATGGACCCTATGAGTTCTTGAACTTTCAAGGTGTTCAAATCACGGATCTCTTCAATAGCCGTGATCTTTGGTTGAAACCGTTGAGGCAAGGATCTCAAAATCTTTTTCACAACTCTATCTTCTGGAATTTTTTCACCTAAACCTGAACAAGCATTCACAATTACACAAAGTTTAGCATAAAATTCAGAAAAAGTTTCATTCTCATCCATCATAAGTGTCTCAAACTGTAAAGTGTGCATTTGAAGCTTGGCTCCCTTGACAGTATCTGTTCCTTCATGAGTAACCTGCAAAATATCCCAAGCTTCCTTAGAAGTATCACAAGCAGATATATATTCAAATTGATCGGAAGAGACAGCAGTAAATAAAGCATTTAACCCCTTTTGATTATTAGTGCTGTGTGTGACTTCTGCAGTGGTCCACTCCTCTCTAGTTTTGAGGACTGTGGTTTCTTCATCTCCTTTTCCAATCGTCTTTGTGGGTTTAGGAAATCCATGAACCACTGTGCTCCATACACGTTCATCTAAGGACCAAAGAAACGACTTCATTTTGGCCTTCCAAGCGCCATAGTTGTTGCCATCGAAATATGGTGGATGTGCAATTGAGCCCGAGGCACGATCCATCCTAAGGTATGTTAGATCTTGCTGAGTATGTCCAGCAACCTGCTCTGATGCCAATTGAAAATACCTGCAGGATGACTCAAAATGCCTAGAGGAGGGTGAATAGGCCAATTTAAGATTCTAATCAAATAAATAAAAATAAACTTTGGTAGCAGGATTGATATGGCTTATCAATCCTGTAACGTGCTGGGCATAAAATAAAAGAACACGCAGAGAATTATTTTACGTGGTAAAACCCCACATCTGGGGAAAATCCACGGGACTCCTCAGTCCAACACAAATCCACTATAGAACGATGATTACAAGAAGTACTCACACACTTATCCTAGACACATTCTAGATAATGTTTACCGACTTCTTCATAACTCAACTTCTGTCACGGGATGATCTTCGACACTCCTTATGTTGAACGCAATACTGGCCACGATTGCTTCAAGCTCACCGGAGGAAAACCGCCACCACGGTCTTGGTGCCCTCAACCGTATGAGTCACCGACATGCATATGAATGCAATATGAATGATTAAAGTGTTTGATAAATCACCAAGTAAACATTGAACACTTGATGATTTATCTCAAATATACGCACAACAGCTTTTCTTAGAATTCTATATGCTCAGAACAAATATCTCAAAAGCTGTACAAATAAAAGAATGGCACATGATCTTTTATACAAGACTTGTTCTCTCTCATGGGAGAGAAACCCAATAGGCCACGAATATTAAACTTCCTATTGCACCACAACCTATCATCAATAAGAGATTTGATTCACCTTGGACTCAAAGTAATGACGCCTCTCTTTAAACCAAATTAACTAAGAGGTAAGCAACGTGCAAAGTCACAATAGGAAAAGATAATATTTTAACTTCAATTAAAATAGAGTTGAACTAGGAAAGTAATCTCAAGAGATAAAATCTAATCTTATTAAAAATAAGATTAAGATAAAAATACTTTGAGTGAAAATAACTCAAACTAGGAATCCTATAATGAATGCATGATTATGTCATGATTTACCTTAAATCAGATTCCTCATATCGGTTAAGTCATGCTTTGGAAACCTGAGATTGAATGTGTTGCGCCAAAACGTCTAGTAAACGATATTCACACACTAACTCCCAACCTATGCTAGAGTCTAGAAAATGACAATACAAATTTCATACTAACAACATATTATACAAACGATGGTTGATTTCATGGCTTTCACCCTTGTTAGTTTTGAACTTGTATTTGCACCCAATATCCATACCCAGTTCAGCATCATCGTTGTTCACTGAAATAACAAAACATAGAGCAAAAGAAAGAGATAGATACCTCCCTATATCTATTTATATTATATTTATTAGCAATCATAGGAATCACAGTAAGCATCAGCAATCATAGGAATCACAGTCAGCATAGATTTCATCTGAATCATATGATGCTTCTTCAATTTCTTCATATTATCTGAATCAGTGTCATCATATGTAACGCCATTCGTACTCAAACCTGCAAAGATACAATTTTCACATACCCAACATGCGCACCCGCCAATTATTATTATTTTTGGTTTTTGGCCTGGTCATGTACTCTTCCGTTGAGCTTGACTTGACCATTAACCCACCAAATTCAGAGAGTCCGTGATTGCTGCCCTGATTTGCCTCAGGACACATTGTTCTACCAAATTGAAGTTGCCAAATACTGAAATAACATTCAATACGGAAAAGACTTGGTACCATATGTATTTGGTTTCTAGTGTAGATGCGGGTAAATCTAACCAAACCTGCCACGAATTTAAAAGAAAAGAAAGAAAAAATGATGAATTGGCAACCCCAGTGAGTCAGCGACAGCTTGCAAATGATGATTGTCCAATGTCAATATTTACACACACAGAGACCAATATTTTGCCATTTGGAAGGAGGATGCAGGTGAATTGAAACGAGGAAGGAAGATGCCTTTCCTGCTCACAAAAAAACAGAAAATAGGTCCAATGGCTCCATACAGTGGGCCCAACCCCAAAATCTATAGCCTTATCATTATTATATCTTTCCTGTTTTGATACAATAATAACTAAGGCAATTCATTAACAACATTTTAGTGAAACATGTGAACAACAAGAAGAAATACCTTGAGTGTTGCTGGTTTATGGTGGCTGTTTGGTGGTGCTTATGCTTTTCGGTGGTTTTTGTTGCAATGTTGTTTTTTTAGTTGTTTTTAATTAATTTTTAGTTTTGTTTATCTGTTGATATCATTATCTGGGGTTGTCTGTTGCTCCTGTTCATCTGATATTGCAGATTAGATATGTGCTTCCTTGTATTGTTGTATATGTTTCATCCTTTTGGGTGAGTTTTTCGTAATGAAATTCATCATTCGACTAAAAAAAAAAAAAAAAAAAAAAAAAAAAAAGAGGAAATACCTAATTTCTAATAGACGAGAGATTACGTGGCTAAGCTCATGAATATTGACTGTTTGATCACATGTAAGATTAATTAACCTAATCTACTAATGTGAGGGCATATAGGGTTTGAAGAAATAAACTTTATTATATACAAGAGTTTGATTGTCACCTTTCTTCTAATAAAGGTAAAGAAAAATTCTATCGCCTTTTTATCATAAAGGTAAAGGAAAAAAAATCCATGCATCAACTTTTCTATGTCTTTTTTATGCTGAAAGATATTTTTTTTAATATTAAAAAGGAAAATAAATTAAACAAAGATTTAGTTGGTGTATCTTTTCTCTTTCGGTGATATCCCAGAGGATCTATTTCGTCCATTGTTTTCATTTTCACCCACAACTCACATTCCATTGTATAAATTCATAGTTTTCGAAGGAAATCGTTATTGACACGTATCTGAATTCTCTGCTTTGACTGCTTTGACACTCCTAAATAGTACTTATACACTTCTTTCTTATTTACTTTTTTCTAACTTATTTGACCGATGCGATTTTGAATAACAACTCTATATGAAAATGTGATTATTAAATTTTAAAAAATAAAGAAGAGTGTATAATTAATATTCTGGATTGCCTACAATGACCAAAGAACAAAACTAAAACCCAACACTAAATTCCAACTCAACACCCCCTTGGTTTGGTAAAGATTTTGTGGTTCAATTAACTTGGGGTAATTAAATCCTCTTTAGGAAAGCAGATTAATTAATTTCTCTTTTTGGTAACAACAGGATTAGGTTAGGAGGGGTTAATTAATTAGCAGAAAACAAGGGGTTAATTAGGGAGGGACATTTCCACATTCTGTCACCTTACCAATCCACATCCCCACTGTACTATTCTCCATGGCATTTATGAATTCCATCACCAAGTAGCATCCTTAAACTACGTGCATCAAACTTCGACCGTCCGATCAAATCCAACGGCGCATAGAGAACGAACATAAAAGGGCGTGCACAATACGCAGTGCGCAGCTTCTCTTCCTCCTTCAACAACAAACAACGAAAGAAACCGCAGAGAGCTTCTCTTCTCCCCGTCGAAACAAAACTTGAAGAAAAAGAAGACGACCCTCTGTCTCATTTCATTTTAGCCCCCAAACTGGGCTCGAAATTACCCAAAAAAAAAAACCACCACCATCGAAAACGACAATGCACGCGAAGTCGGATTCGGAGGTGACGAGCGTGGAGCAGTCGACGCCGCCGCGATCTCCGCGCAGGCCGATTTACTACGTGCAGAGCCCGTCAAACCACGACGTGGAGAAGATGTCGTACGGCTCGAGCCCGGCCGGGTCGCCGGCGCACCACTTCTACCACTGCTCGCCCATCCACCACTCGCGCGAGTCCTCCACGTCCCGCTTCTCCGCCTCGCTTAAGAACCCCCGCAGCCTCTCCGCCTGGCGGAAGCTGCAGCGTGGCGAGGAGGTCGAAGAATCCGACGACGACGACGACGAAAATGGCACCGCTTTCGGGAAAGGAGGCCCCGGCCGCAGCGTCAGGTTGTACTTCTGCTTCGCGCTGCTGTTCGTTGTACTCTTCACGGCGTTCTCGCTGATCCTGTGGGGCGCCAGCAAGGCTTATGAGCCGCAGGTCATCGTCAAGGTAAAGGCTCTGTCTTTTCTTTTTCTTGACTTGGTGCTCGACTGAGTTGACTGACGGCGTTATTTTTTTTTGGTGAAGAGTATTGTGTTCGAGAGTTTTGAAATACAGGCGGGGAGCGACAGGACGGGGGTGCCGACGGATATGCTGTCGTTGAATTCGACGGTCAGGATTCATTACAGAAATCCGGCGACATTCTTCGGCGTTCACGTCACGTCGACGCCGCTGGAGCTTCACTACTACCAGCTCAAAGTGGCGTCCGGACAGGTGCGTAATGACCATTCTGACATCGTTAAGTAAGAAGATGCATGTTTAGGCCATGGGTAATCTGGTAATTTTGAGTTGTATGGATAATATTGCTCCAACGTTAATGTGGGTTTGTTAGTTATAACATATGGTTTTGTTTTGGTTGGGGGTGGGGGGTGGGGACAAACGGCGGATGTTGGGAGGCGTGAGGGCAGATGGGAGTTTGAAAATTTTGATGGGTCCTCTTTATTGGCAAGTTTCTCTTCTTTATTGGGGGGCCTGAAAAAGCTCTTCTGCCAAGCCTGAAACCCAACCGCAATACAAACATCTCTGTTGGGATGCTCAACTTTTTTATTTTGTAAACAAAACAATAACACTCTCTGCCTGCACCAATTTATATAACATTTTCAGCAAAACCTGTAAACATGGTCAATGGCACATTCAGTTTTTCTGCAACATTTTGGTCCACATCAATTTACGCACGGAAAGATTATTTATTTAATTTATTTTTATAATAAATGAGAAAGGATTAGGCGAGATTAGCTTCGATGATCATTTCAAATTCTTCTTTTGGGAGATGCAGTTGAAATCAAACACAAAGAATATAGTTAGGAGATTTGAAAGCTTGATGGGTCCCAATGGGGAGAATCCTGTTCCTATCTCTTTAATGGGTAAAAAAAACCCAGCAAAAGATGGGTAGCTGGGCCAGTCTTTTGATTCCAACTTTCTAAATTCTTTCTTATCTCAAAAATTAAGTCTTCTTGTAGTTTAGGATTTGTAAAACAGACCCCTATAGTTTTATTTTATTTTGGTTTTTGGGAAGTGGCAATGTACTTGGAACTGATGGCAAGAACACTGCCTGGCTTTAAGCAGTTTTTGGTCAGTTTATATAGAATTTGCTAGTACTTGTTACCTTTTTGTTTTTTGATGAATTTTATCCAAAGATTTTATGCTCATGAAAAATGAAACAGATTGAAAACTTTTACCAAGCAAGGAAGACGCATCGGACAATAAGGACAGTGGTGCTAGGGTCCCAAGTGGCTCTTTATGGTGGAGTTTCAGTTGTTCAAGATGTTAGCGAAAATCGCCAGAGACAGAGAGTGGCCGTGCCGCTGAATCTGACGTTCGTTGTGAGGTCAAGAGCCTACATTCTGGGAAAACTAGTGAAGTCCAAGTTTTATGAGAGAATCAGATGCTCTGTCACTCTTAGAGGCAGCAATCTAGGCAAGCACTCTAATTTGACAAATTCTTGTGTCTACGAATGAATGAGATACCTCTGTTTATGATCAGTAATTTTTGGGGAATCTCGGTGTGGATTAATTGTACCATTGTACCATTTTAACTGCTCAAGTTATCTTGTTCTCTATCAGCCTGCAAATTCTATATACAAAAGTTTTGAAAGTGGTTTAAGCCTCCGTAGATTTTCCTTTCATTTACAATGTAAAATTTCAGTAGTTGTAAAAATAGATTATGGAAGAGAACAAGTTTTTGTTGCCTTTCATTAATTTATTTAGAATCCTTCTGTATAATGCATTGCGGTCGGTCAATTTGTTTATGGAACATATGAGATGTATTGGTGAATGTAAGTAGGATGGTATCTCTTTCTGTTTGGTGGATGAAAATGTGGGGTGAAATGTTTTCGACCGCTTTTTGAATTCCGATTTGAGCTACAGCATTTGCAGCTATGGGAAGGAGACGACTTGCAGGCAGGAGTTGAACTGAATGCTTGAAAAAAGCACATGAAGCACCTCTACAAGTACAAAGGAGACCATGAACAAAACACAAGTGACGTACAAGCAAACACTTTTACAAACACAGAGGACCGTTAACCAAACACATTACAAGCAAAAACTTACACAAGTAAAGAGGAACCTAAACAAATTACATTGCAAGTAAACATCAAAGGCCACCACCGTTAACATCTAAATGTTTTATTGGTTGCATCATGGATGCTAATACTCCTTTGGCTTCTCCTCTTCATTCTTGTGACCTCCAGGGAGCTTGTCTTTGATCTTCTCCAAGATTCCCTTTTTAGGCTCAGCTTCATGGGAATGGCCATCCACAGCATGATACTCTGCTTGAGCACCATGTTCAGCCTCCTTGTGTTGTCCAGGAAGCTTTTCTTTGATTTTCTCTATAAAGCCCTTCTTATCATCTGCATGCGGTGCTCCATTTTTGATATCATGGGTTTTCTCGACTGGAACTGATGAGTGGTAAGCATCTCCCTCTTCATTTTTGCCTGATTTCTTCTCCTTGATCTTGCCCTTCAGTCCCTTCTTCTTCTCTCCACCTTCTTCGTCACTGCTGGACTGGAAAATTTTTCAAGCAACAAAATTTTGTCAGAAAAGGAAAAGAAAAAAATATTTACTTGATGCATCAAACACTTTTTGATCCATTTTGAGACTAATTCTGTGATAAACAAATCAATGATAGCTCACCGAGCTAGAGTCGCCACCATGGTGGTGGAGCTTTTCGGCAAGAGTGTGCTTATGTTGCTCCTGCTCCTGGTGGGGCTTCTCATTTTCCTTCTTCTTCAAGAAATCAAACATCCCACAACCTTGACCTTCCTCTCCTACCTTGGTGGGACTCTGACTCTCCTTGGTCTCTTTTGGGTAATGATCTGCCATATTGCTAATGCTAGCAAACACAAGAGTGTAATCAAATCAAAAACAGAATGAAAGCTTTGAACAATATTTGATGTTAATACTTGTAATAAAAAACTGATATTCACTGATGGTTTAAGAGGCAGATAGTGTTGGTATTTATAGAGAATTTTTTGTACCCAACTGAAGCTTTTTGAGCAACTATGAGATGTACAAAGGCACTGAAGTTATAAAAAAAACCAGAAAAAAGTACCGTTTGCGTCGGAGGGGGTTTACGTGGTCTCTAATGGCCACCATTGGGAGGAGAAAACTAAAAGAGTCGGTGTGGACGGTGTGCAGAGTCTGCAACTATCAAGAGCTTCAGTGCTGTTGCCTACGTGCAAGGTTTTGAGATTAGGAGCTTCAAAGTGCTTAATGGTACGCTTAACATAATCACATGGATGTGTTTGGTCGGTGCTTGGGTTGGGAGTTTAACTTTTTGTGAATATAATAGTCATATTTAATTTGTTAATCTTAGTTTAATCACTCAAAGTACATTGCAGAACTGTTTTCGAGTTGAAAATGCATTAACCCTCCAATCAAAGTGAATCTTGGTTTTCTTAAACTTGTCTGAAATCCAAGGGGAAAATAAGAAGAAATATATTTGAAGCTTCCTGCATTATTCTTACTTTGGTTATTATTGAAATACTAATAAGAAATTCTCAATTTTGGAATTTATTCTTTGAGAAAGAGCTTATTGCATGTATGATGTAAAGGAGTTCTGAAAGTCTATCCCAAATGCTTGATCACAAGTATTAACTTATCCTTGTTACATAATTTGGTCTTGGGGTTTCAAAATATTTTTCCATTTGTTTGGAAATTAATAGTGATTAAGGCTTGAAGAAGTTGGCATTTAGGCCATTAACAGCTAAATTCCAAGCTGCTGCAGCAACAAAAAGAAGGCTCAAAAACAGGCCAAAGCACCCGAGTGCAACGTTGGTACACCACATTCCACCATGTAGACGTGGTTTCTTAATTGCAATCCACATGAAACATGGATAAGCATATGTCAAGGGTACTGATGTGAACCCTCCAATTAGAGGTGATAGGCTTCCTAGAAATGGAAATGCCACTGCTATAAAGAATGTCAATCCTCCGAACAAAAGGCGAATAACTATGCGAAGCCATCTGGGGCATCTCTCTTTCTTTCTACTGGTGTATCGTATCTCCATGTTGTCGAAAACTACCATGCCGTATATTTGGTATGTCGTTAAGCAGTTAATCACGATTATTATGTAAATTAGTCCTAGCACATATTGTGATGTGTTATGTCCATGGAATTGTGAAATTGCTTTTAGTATAGCTCCATTACTAAAGGGTTCCTGCATAAACCAGAACATGTTCTGTTAGTTTAAGTTTGAATCATTTGAGAAATTTGTTTTGAAGAAAAAAACAAAAGGAATTGCTCTCACCTTGTTTCCATAAGCCCAATATCCACCTATGGCCAGAGGAAACAAACACATGGCTATGAGCACATAAGACATTGTAACTCCACTCCACATTCTCTTATGAGAAGGGTGTTTTGGACTTGATGGCAATGTCCCCTGCCACACATTACAAGATCAAACCAAAGTATAAGCTATATATCAAAAAGAGTGTACATGTTTTGGCATCAAAATCGAACAACTTTTGATGGAAATTAGCAACAACACTAACCTGAATCTCCAGGATGACATTGTGACCTCTGAATGCAAGAAAAATTATACCAAGTGCATTTAGTATACCGCCGTATGTAGCGATGGTGGACTCCAGAGGAAGAGGGTCGTACGATATGTCACGGGGCCTGCCCTTGCCGATCGAAAGAGCCCAAATCATGGTACAATATACAATGGCTGTGATGGTTCCAATCAATGAGACTCTAGCTATGGAGTTCAAGTTGGGAAAGCATTGAGCCACAACAATAGCCATACACATGAACACCAAATAGCATTCTGTACCAGTCAATGGCTTGGCATTGCAGGTTGCCCCATCCTTGCACATTGTTCTGATCAAAAGCTGTATGGTTCCACCTCCTATGATAATTAGCTGCACACACATACCCCCTGATAGATACATCACAGGGAATATAGTTAGCAACTTTCCTAGCTTTGAACCTGAAACAAAGAAAAGAACATATCTATAGTTAATACATTTTCAGCCATTTGGTTTGATGTAGAAAAAGAAGGGCTTGTGGTATCAACCAAAGGCAGTCACTGCAAGGTGCACGTATCGACTATACCGAGTTCCAGATTCAGATTCGTGCAGTTGTACGAGGAGCCATAGGGTGTAGAGCTGCCATGAGAATGCTAGTGACAAGAATATGGTTCCATATACCCTGCAACCATTGAAAATTGTTATTGTATATGAAACTTTGTGCAGATATGCAATCAAAGGCATCAAAAAACCACAAATGCTGAACTCTTTCTCAATTTTTTCTTGATCAATTATATATCAGAGAAAGACTTATTGCTTACCATCCAAAAGTGGAAAATGCAACAGGAAGGAGAAGGGCTTGAAGTCCAATGCCTGAAGCAAGTATATGATATACAGCAGAATATGTGCTGCCTTTTCTAGACTCTGTGATGGGGAGCCAAGCATCCTGTGGATTGAGCTCACCACCTGCCCAATCTGTTGGTGTGATGGTTTCTTTCTCTGGGGGACTAATTGTGATGGGGATGACTTGGGCAGACTCTGACGACGAATTTCTAATGAAATTGCTAAAAGAAGGCTCCTGGGACAAATCTGGCCTGGATTTTGTTCTAAGATCCACTTCCTCCAAGTCTGCCATTTGCTTAAAATTGCTATGTGGGGGGTTTTTTTTTCTTTCAACTAATTAAACCAAAAAATAATGCAATTCTAGTATTCTCTTTAGCACTATTTTGCTGACTTTGATGGTGGGAATGTTTCAGATGTGAAAACTAGAAGTCATCTCATATGATTGAAAATGTATGGGCAGTTTTATTTTGTCGAAGTATGCAGCAGAAACAAAAGGGTAGAAAACTTGTTGGTTTTCCACAAAGAATGTTAAAGAACAACTGGGAACAAATTGTTATATATTACTGAAAAATCCGCCTTTTCAAAGACAAATTCAGGTGCGACCGAAAAAAGAAAAGAAAAGAAAAGAAATTAAAAAGGTGAGATAAAAACAAGAAATCTGCCTTTTCAAAAGTCACAAAGTCAATAAAAGAATTAATCTGAAGGGTTTGCAAAAAACCAAAAATAAAATAAAAATAAATCTTAAATGGAGTTTGAAATTAGTAATTACCACTTTAGAAACCCACAACTTGAAAGAATTCCAGACAAACTCAAAAGCTTGGGATGAAGATGTTGAATGCTTGAAGGCAGAGGGAGGTTGAAGGCTTGGCTTGCACAGCAAGGCTGACATCATGATGATGATATATATACACACATAATAATGGGTTTTACGTTATATCTGTAATGATCGATATTAAACCATTGAATTCCACCATAATGAGCGGTTTAATTAGTTATTTTCGTGTCTTAATTGATGGGGGAAAAAATCACAATTTAACCAACAGAAACAATTAGAATTTGGTTAATTAAGAGAAAAACCGTAACAGCGGATGAAGCCTCCCTGTCTCTGCTAAAGTTAATGCTTAAAAAGGTTGGCTGGAAACCAACATTGCTCAAATCTATGTTGATGAATGGAGTTCTCAGATGAAGAAGAAGAGAGGAGGTTTAAAGTTTCATGTGGAGAATCGATGCATACCGCAAAAGAGTGGAGGGAGGGATCAATTCAAGGAGCATGGTTGAGCATGATCAGACTGATGACAAGTGGCGCTGTGTCGAGACAACACGTGGCAATTATGTAAGGCTATCTTCAATTCAATGTCAAATGCCATATTCTAAACTATTCAAATGTATAAGGAAGATTATCGAACTTATATGCAAAAAGACGGGCATGATTTGAGTTTGAGTATAAATCCCCATTGAAGATGGTTGGACTGAAACTCAAATTTTGGTTTTAATTTATTTTTTTCTTGCTTCTTTATTTTGTTGGACAAAATTGGTTATATTTTTATTTTATAATTTTGGACTTAATTTATTTGAGAATCTTGCAGTATAATAAAACCATTAGTAAATTTTGGACTTAAACATCTAGACCGTTGATTGCTTCAAAATTTTGAATTTGGACCGTTAGATGCAGCTAGTCCTTGGGTTTTGAGTTAAACTCAAACCTAATCTGGTTCTGAATTTTGAAGAAAAATCATATTTGGGTTTGGATTTTCCGGCCCACTGAAGACACAACATTATGTTTTGGTCCAAAAAAAATATATATATCAATGATCCGATCAAATGGTTCGAGAGAAGGTAACAATATTCACTCGGACTAGAGTGGAACTGTATGTTGTGAAAATTAAAGTTATGTATAAACTGTCACATAATTCTGTATTTCAATCAATTTTTTTGAATTTCTTTTTTTTATTTTTGTGGATTTATTGTTAATGTTAGGCTTAATATGATGTATCTTTGGGCAACCTGCATCCCTTGCTCCGGTCACCTCAGCTTCTATCAGATGGCAATCTGTACCGCCTTTTGCCTTGTTTTCGTGACATCAGAAGTTTCCAGAGCTGAGCACCTCCAGCATCCACAGGCACCTCCGTGAATTTACCTCTCAGTTAACAAATCTACCAGCTGATGTTTTATGAATCTAACAAAAGTTTAACAAGTACTCACTTAACTAGCTTAATTTAAATACATGGTTTTTTTTATTTTATCGTTTCTATGAAAAATAGAACTAATTAAGGTTTGAAGAAGTTGGCATGCAGGCCTTTGCTAGCCAAGTTCCATGCTGCTGCAACAACTAAAAGAGCACTCAAAACCAGGCCTAAGCATCCAAGTCCCATGTTGGCACACCACATGACACCTTTTGGCTTTGGTTTCTTGATTGCAATCCACATGAAGCATGGATAAGCATATGCCAGAGGCAATGTCAACCCTCCAATTAGGGGTGCCAAGCTTCCCAAGAATGGAACAGCCACTGC